CGTGTGTATGTGAGAGCGTGTGTGTGTGAGATCTACCACTTATCCCACAGTCCGTTGACCCAAAACACCTGGGTCTGTCCTCTGACTTACTGCCAGCAGCTCGCCTTCCCACACTCAAAGTCCACCTAGCTTGGTACAAGAGTTATGGGGACGTCTTCCACCACTTGGTGGTGACTGGCGGCTATTGGTCGCGACGTTCTGTACTAATAAGTGCCGGCTTTAAATGTGGCACAGCCATGAGACACACCTGGCACCTCGCCCCAACCGGGGTGATCATAACACGGGGACAAGTAGGCAGAGGAACAAGAGCAGGGGGCATGGCTGTGCGACTCGAGCATGCTGCACCCATGTCATGAGCATGCTGCACCCATGTCATGAGCATGCTGCATCCATGTCATGAGCATGCTGCACCCATGTCATGAGCATGCTGCACACGTGTCATGAGCATGCTGCACCCATGTCATGAGCATGCTGCACCCATGTCATGAGCATGCTGCACCCATGCCATGAGCATGCTGCACCCATGTCATGAGCATGTTGCACCCATGTCATGAGCATGCTGCACCCATGTCATGAGCATGCTGCACCCATGCCATGAGCATGCTGCACCCATGTCATGAGCATGTTGCACCCATGTCATGAGCATGCTGCACCCATGTCATGAGCATGCTGCACCCATGTCATGAGCATGCTGCACACATGTTATTGGGTGGCACTATGTAAAAGCGCCGCTTGGGCATTGAGAGGTCGTCATGACTCTACGTGACGGAATTTACGCACGGACGAGTGGTGGGGGCTGCGGGGGGGATAGGGGGCGGGGTGCTGAGGGGGTCACGGAGGGCTAAAGGGAGAAGTGGGTGACCAGGGGAAGAGGTGCAGCGTGCACGTGACGAGTCGCTGGCACGTGAGGAGTCGTTGGCACGTGACGAGTCGCTGGCACGTGTGCCACGACCCCTTATCCACTGCTGGATGTACTCGACGCCGTGCGTGCCTTGTGGGTCATGGCAGTTATTTGACCATACGCACCTCAAGCTCACCAGTGCGCGTTGGTGGAGCACACGGGGGCATAGAAAGCATAGTGAGTGCAGTACAACGGATGTATCCTGCCGCTGTGCGCCTACAGCTCGTGTTGTGTGCACTGTGGGTCGTCCATCCGAGCACTTGCTAGGCTCTCGCCTGCCAAGATGTGACGAGATGGGGCGCGTTCCGGGAGATTGGATTATATATTTGTTGTTGTTGTTGAATGCGGGAGATGTGAAATCGTATGATGACATGGTATGATGAGTTGATCCAGTTTTCAAGATATTGTTCCACCAGGTGGAGAACGCGATCGACCAGGATAGAGTCACTTCCACAAGCGTAACCGGGGCCATCAAAGTTACAAAAGCAAAACAAATAAAGCACCGTACAGCAATAATGCAACAAGAAACGCCAACACGTGCCGATGGTGTGCATGATGATGTGAGGAGTGCCGTGTCTCTCTACGCATGTCAGTTCTGGCAGTGGAGCGGTGAGCGCTCACGGCCACCAAGACCAGTGACGATTATCTGAACCGGTTCCGGGCCTCCCCTAGGTCGACTCAGCCCCAAATGAGTACTAGGCGTGTAAACATCGCCACTGGGGAGACAAAGGCGGCCGAGCGTTGCGCTGGCCACCCACCCCCTCGTGTGCCGTGCGGGCCTTCATAGGCGCTCGCTAACAGCACTTGTCCCAACAGTCTGTTGTGACTACACGGGGGATCTTTGTCTTTTGTTTTGTGTATGGAGGGGTGTGATTGTCCGATAGTGTGTGAGTGGGGGTGTGAGTGGGGGCGTGTGAGTGGCTGTGTGTGTGATTGGATGAGTGTGTGGATGGAAGGGAGTGATTGTCCGATAGTGTGTGAGTGGGGGGTGTATGTGAGTGGGTGTGTGTGAGCGGGTGTGAGTGGGTGTGTTTGAGTGGTTGTGTGTGCGTGAATGTGTGAGTGGTTGTGTGTGAGTGGTTGTGTAAGTACGTGAGTGTGTGAGTTGTTGTGGGTGTAAGTGTGTGTGTGAGTGGTGTGTGTGTGGGGGGGTGATTGTGAGAGTGGTTGTATGAGTGTTTTTGTGAGTGTGTGAGTGGTGTGTGGTTGTGTGATTAGTTTGTGTGTGAGTGGTTGTGTAAGTGTGTGTGTGTGGTTGTGAGTGGTTGTGTGATTAGTTGTTTGTGTGTGAGTGGTTGTGTGTGTGTGTGGTTGTGTGTGAGTGGTTGTGTGTGTGAGTGGTGTGTGTGTGAGTGGTTGTGTAAGTGTGTGTGAGTGAGTGGATGTGTGTGAGTGGTTGTGTGTGTGTGATTGTCTGTGTGTGAGTGGTGTGTGATTGGTTGTTTGTGTGTGAGTGGTTGTGTGTGTGAGTGGTTGTGTGAGTGGTTGTGTAAGTGTGTGTGTGGTTGTGTATGAGTGGTTGTGTGTGTGTAAGTGTGTGAGTGAGTGGCTGTGTGTGTGTGAGTGTGTGAGTGGTGTGTGTGTAGTTGTGTGTGTGTGGTTGTGTGTGTGTGAGTGGCTGTGTGTAAGTGTGTGAGTGGTGTGTGTGTAGTTGTGTGAGTGAGTGGCTGTGTGTGAGTGGTTGTGTGAGTGGTTGGAATGAGTGGTTGTGAGTGTGTAAGTGTGTGTGAGTGGCTGTGTGTGTGTAAGTGAGTGGTGTGTGTGTAGTTGTGTGAGTGGCTGTGTCTGTGAGTGGGTGTGTGAGTGGCTGTGTGTGTGTGAGTGATGTGTGTGTAGTTGTGTGAGTGGCTGTGTGGTTGTGTGTGTGTGTGAGTGAGCGGCTGTGTGTGTGAGTGGCTGTGTGTGTGAGTGGTTGTGTGTGTGTGAGTGGTGTGTGTGTAGTTGTGAGTGGCTGTGTGAGTGGTTGTGTGAGTGGCTGTGTGTGTGAGTGGTGTGTGTGTAGTTGTGAATGGCTGTGTGTGAGTGGTTGTGTGAGTGTGTGAGTGGCTGTGTGTGTGTAGTTGTGTGTAAGTGAGTGTGTGAGTGGCTGTGTGTGTGAGTGGTTGTGTGAGTGGTGTGTGTGTAGTTGTGAGTGGTGTGTGTGTAGTTGTGAGTGGCTGTGTGTGAGTGGCTGTGTGAGTGTGTGAGTGAGTGGCTGTGTGTGTAGTTGTGTGTAAGTGAGTGTGTGAGTGACTGTGTGTGTGAGTGGTTGTGTGAGTGGTGTGGGTGTAGTTGTGAGTGGTGTGTGTGTAGTTGTGAGTGGCTGTGTGTGAGTGGTTGTGTGTGTGAGTGGTTGAGTGAGTGTGTGAGTGAGTGGCTGTGTGTGTGTGAGTGTGTGAGTGGCTGTGTGTGTGAGTGGTGTGTGTGTAGTTGTGTGAGTGGCTGTGTGTGAGTGGTGTGTGTAAGTGAGTGTGTGAGTGGCTGTGTGTGTGAGTGTGTGAGTGGCTGTGTGTGAGTGGTGTGTGTGTAAGTGAGTGTGTGAGTGGCTGTGTGTGTGAGTGGTTGTGTGAGTGGCTGTGTGTAGTTGTGTGAGTGGCTGTGTGTGTGAGTTGTGTGTGAGTGTGTGAGTGGCTGTGTGTGTGAGTGGTTGAGTGTGTGAGTGAGTGGCTGTGTGTGTGTGTAGTTGTGTGTAAGTGAGTGTGTGAGTGGCTGTGTGTGTGAGTGGTGTGTGTGTAGTTGTGTGAGTGGCTGTGAGTGAGTGGTGTGTGTGTAAGTGAGTGTGTGAGTGGCTGTGTGTGTGAGTGGTTGTGTGAGTGTGTGTGTGAGTGGCTGTGTGTGTAGTTGTGTGAGTGGCTGTGTGTGAGTTGTGTGTAAGTGAGTGTGTGAGTGGCTGTGTGTGTGAGTGGTTGAGTGAGTGGTGTGTGTGTAGTTGTGAGTGGCTGTGTGTGTGAGTGGCTGTGTGTGTGTGTAGTTGTGTAAGTGAGTGTGTGAGTGGCTGTGTGTGTGAGTGATTGAGTGAGTGTGTGAGTGGCTGTGTGTGTGTAGTTGTGTGAGTGGCTGTGTGTGTGTAGTTGTGTGTAAGTGAGTGTGTGAGTGCCTGTGTGTGTGAGTGGTTGTGTGAGTGGGGGTGTGTAGTTGTGTGAGTGGCTGTGTGTGTGAGTGGCTGTGTGTGTGAGTGGCTGTGTGTGTGTGTAGTTGTGTAAGTGAGTGTGTGAGTGGCTGTGTGTGAGTGGTTGTGTGAGTGTGTGAGTGGCTGTGTGTGTGTAGTTGTGTGTAAGTGAGTGTGTGAGTGGCTGTGTGTGTGAGTGGTTGTGTGAGTGGTGTGTATGTAGTTGTGAGTGGTGTGTGTGTAGTTGTGAGTGGCTGTGTGTGAGTGGCTGTGTGAGTGTGTGAGTGAGTGGCTGTGTGTGTAGTTGTGTGTAGGTGAGTGTGTGAGTGGCTGTGTGTGTGAGTGGTTGTGTGAGTGGTGTGGGTGTAGTTGTGAGTGGTGTGTGTGTAGTTGTGAGTGGCTGTGTGTGAGTGGTTGTGTGTGTGAGTGGTTGAGTGAGTGTGTGAGTGAGTGGCTGTGTGTGTGTAGTTGTGTGTAAGTGAGTGTGTGAGTGGCTGTGTGTGTGAGTGGTGTGTGTGTAGTTGTGAGTGGCTGTGTGAGTGGCTGTGTGTGTGTGTAGTTGTGTAAGTGAGTGTGTGAGTGGCTGTGTGTGTGAGTGATTGAGTGAGTGTGTGAGTGGCTGTGTGTGTGTAGTTGTGTGAGTGGCTGTGTGTGTGTGTAGTTGTGTGTAAGTGAGTGTGTGAGTGGCTGTGTGTGTGAGTGGTTGTGTGAGTGGGGGTGTGTAGTTGTGTGAGTGGCTGTGTGTGTGAGTGGCTGTGTGTGTGAGTGGCTGTGTGTGTGTGTAGTTGTGTAAGTGAGTGTGTGAGTGGCTGTGTGTGAGTGGTTGTGTGAGTGTGAGTGGCTGTGTGTGAGTTGTGTGTAAGTGAGTGCGTGAGTGGCTGTGTGTGTGTGTGGTGTGTGTGTAGTTGTGTGAGCGGCTGTGTGTGAGTGGTTGTGTGAGTGGCTGTGTGTGTGTGAGTGGTGTGTGTGTAGTTGTGAGTGGCTGTGTGTGTGAGTGGTAGTGTAAGTGAGTGTGTGAGTGGTTGAGTGAGTGGGGGTGTGGCGTGACACGTGATGCCAGCGGAAAGGCATGCGGTCCCTGTGCACTCTGCAGGCTGAGCCAGTCTCACGACTCTCCCGCGGTGGGCGTGCGTCTCAGCTCTCCCTCTCAGCCCCCTGAGCCCCCTGAGCCGTACCCCTCTAGCCGGGACCCCTTAGGCACAGGCCATGTCGCGAGTGGCGGTCCGCGTTGTGGGTCGACGCCTGACGGGGGCCGTGCCGAGACGAGGACTGAGCGCAGCGGCGGCGGCCCAGGTAGGGAACGGGACAGGGCGCCGTGTGTGTGTCTGTGTGCACACGAGGGCACGCGTGTCTGTGTGCACACGAGGGCACGTGTGTGTCTGTGTGCACACGAGGGCACGTGTGTGTCTGTGTGCACACGAGGGCACGTGTGTGTCTGTGTGCACACGAGGGCACGCGTGTCTGTGTGCACGCGAGGCCACGTGTGTGTGTGTTCACACGAGGGCACGCGTGTCTGTGTGCACATGAGGCCACGCGTGTCTGTGTGCACACGAGGGCACGCGTGTCTGTGTGCACACGAGGGCACGCGTGTGTGTGTGTGTACACGAGGCTACGTGTGTCTGTGTGCACACGAGGGCACGCGTGTGTGGCGCTGGTCTGCTATACTGTATTGTGAAGCGTCTGCGCGTACGCGCGTCTGTGTGCACGCGCGTCTGTGTGTACGCGAGGCTCGTGAAGGACGCTGCTGCTGCAGGGCAGTCGGAGGCAGTCGCCCTCCAACAACAACGGAGGGCAGAGGCGCGACGCTCACAACAACGAGCGGAGCGCATGGTGGCTAAAGCACAGCGAGTTGGCAGAGTAGGGGACACAGGTGGTGCATCAGCCAGTCGTCTTAGTCAGTCGACCCGTGGCACCTGCTGGGTATGCCCCGTGACCTCCTGCCAGCGGGCGTTCGACACTTCACGTGGCCTCAACGTGCACCTAGCCTGGCACAAGCGTTGTGGTCACGTCACCCCCACTTAGTGGCGAATGGCGGTTGTTGTTGTTTGTGGACGTGACTCCTGCTGCGTGTTCAGTTTGTGTAGTGTGTACTGTTGTGTAACTGTTGTGTGTGTGTACACTCGGTCATGGGCCGTGTTACACGTGTGTGTGCGGGCCTTCATAGGTGCTACTCGCTAACAGCACTTGCCCCAACAGTCTGTTAAGGCTATATGGGGGATCTTTGTCGGTGTGTGTGTACGTGGGTGTCGGACACGTTCATGCTGTGTGTACAATCGTAGACGAGTGTGTGTGTGTGTGTCTACAATTGTGTTGTGTATACATACACTGGTTGTTGGGCATGTTAGGTGATGGCACGCACGTGTTCTTAGCACGTGTACCCTGGTGGCTATTACGTGTACATTGGCGATGTATACACAGTGGTGATTGTGTGCATGGGTGGGTGTGTACACGTTGTTGTGTAAACGTTGATGTTTATATACTGGGTCACGGTGTGTACCCGTGTGTGTGTGTGTACTGGATCACGGTGTGTACACGTGGGTGCATTTACCGCAGTAATCGTACGCGTGCAACGCGTGACCCTGTGCGCGCGAGTGACCCTGTGTGTCCGCGCGCGTGACCCTGTGTGTCCGCGCGCGTGACCCTGTGCGCGCGCGCGCCCCTGTGTCCGCGCGCGCGACCCTGTGTCCGCGCGCACGACCCTGTGTCCGCGCGCGCGACCCTGTGTCCGCGCGCGCGATCCTGCGCGCGACCCTGTGTCCACGCGCGTGACCCTGTGTCCGCGCGTTGTACGCATGCGACGCCTCTCATCTCGGCACAGACACCCCCCCCCCTGCTGCTGCGTTTGTGTTAGTTGGGGGGTGGGGGAGCCGTGGGGGATTTAATCTCTGACCGCGGTCACTCCGTGACCTCTCGACCTCTGTGCGCCCGCTCATCAAACCCGAGCCGAGGAAAATAAATTATCTGTTCACCTTCTCCGCTCTCACCGCCACCATCACCGCCGACATGTTAAAACAAATACCTGTATAGTTCATCTTCTGGGTTCTTTCGGTAAAGTCACGTAGAATGGAGATAAAATAATAATAACAGAATAAAATTCTCACGACGTTTCGGCCACAACACAAGTAGTCTTCCTCTACTTGTATTGTGGCCGAAACGTCGTGAGAATTTTATTCTGTTATTATTATTTTATCTCCATTCAACGTGACTTTACCGAAAGAACCCAGAAGATGAATCCCTGCAGTCACGAAAGCTTTAAATCGAAACCTGTATAGTTTTTGAGCGGATAAGATACACGTGTGTGTGTAAATATACTGTCGTGTATTTGGAGACATTTTCTTGTCTGTTGTGAATTTCTATTGCCCACGACCACGTGTCGCGTGTTACATACATTTGGTTCTAATTAGAACCCATTATCTTAGAGCGAGAGAGAGAGAGGCAGTGTCCCTTTTCTGGACAATCGCAAGCATTGAATACCGGCGAGCCTGACCTTCTGATGAGGCACCCAGTGTCGAAACCGGTGCGGAGTTTGGCTGGGACTTTTTTTTTTAAATCGTTTGCTCTCTGCAATGATTTGCACTCCCAGAAGGCGGGCGGCTGATGGGATGTATAAAGATTATACTTTGGTGTTTGTTTGTCGAGGGCCTGACGATAGTGAATGAGACACATTGCGTTTGCTTATCTCTGTTATTTGATCACCACAAAGATCCCCCATACAGCCTGTACAGACTGTGGGGGCAAGTTCTGTTAGCGAGTAGCACGGCCGCCTTTGTCTCCCCAGTGGTGATGTTTTTACACACCGCACCAGGTACTCGTTTGAGGCTGAGTGGACCTAGGGGAGGCCCAGTACCGGTTTAGATAATCGTCACTGGTGTTGGCCGTGAGCGGGAATCGAATCCGGGTCACCAGGTTCGTAGCGCAGCGCGCTAACTGCTGCACTGCCGCTCCCCACATGTACACACACCCACACACACGTACACACACGTACACACGTACACACACACACGTACGCAACACACACACACGTACACACACACACGTACACACGTACACGAACACACGTACATACACATACGTACACGTACGCAACACAACAACCATCATTCGCCACTAAGTGGCGGTGACGTCACCACGACGCTTGTGCCAGGCTATGTGCACCCTGAGGCCACGTGAAGTGTCGAACGCCCGCTGGCAGGAGGTCACGGGGCACACCCAGGTGCCACGGGTCGACTGAGATGACTGGCTGATACGCAACACACGCACACACATACACGCACACACACATACGTACACACACACACGTACACACACACACGTACACGTGTTGCCCCAGCGTATCCTTCTCCACTCGTTCCGCTCCAGTATAATCCACGTTGCGGGGTGCGTCACGAATGCCACGTCATGTTGGGTCGTGTTGGTTGAATGACCATACTTCACCGCGCTGGTCAATGCGGTTTGGTGAAGGCAGAGAGAGTAGGACCTGTTCAGATATCACTCGCTACTCCTGATCTCCTAGCCTGGGTTAAAACAATCATTCTGGTCTCTGTGGTGGAGAATGTAAGTCACACACACAACTAAACAGACACATTTCCTCCTACACATTTATCGACCTCCACATTTGTGTTTTGTTTTAATTGTGTCATCAGCCAAACAAAATCTAGACCGGTTTCAACGTTCATGGGCTCATCAGTAGGGTCCATCATGCGTGCTTGCAAACTACTAGATAGGCGTTTCTAGGCAAGGAGGGGGGGAGACCTTCTTACTACGTCAGGCACGGCCCTTCTAGCCTTGGCCAGCTATCAAACTCGGGTTACCGGTTACAGAGCGTACGTAGCCAACTATCGTTTGTGTGCTGTGCTGTGTAAGCGTCGTGTGTACGTTGAACTTCTTTGACACCGTACATAGCCAACCGCCTTAATCGGAGGTGCGGGGGAAGGGCTAAACACAAAAAGCAGTTCTCAATAAATTAATCTTCAATCTAAAATCTAGATCTATTACGCCCCCACTCCTCCATAAATGGCTTTGGTTAAACTAACAACAAGAATACATCACTTCGTCAGTCACTCCCCTGCTGGATGATGAGAGCCTTCTCACGCCGCGCGGGTCGTGGGCTCTACTCGGCCTCCGCGCTGTTGGGCCGGTGAAGGCGCTTGCAGCGTTCGACGCGGGAGCGTAGAAGTACAGCACAACCACGGGTGTTGCTGCACTGAACGACGGCCTTGGTACGGGGCACGGACCACGTGGGCTCAGCGGCTAAACGCCGAAGTCCTGTACGGAGCCCGACATCTCCAGGGCTGCTCCTGTGGTGCGGCGACTTCACTGGGTTCTCACGCCGCCGCTGTCACTGGCTTCTCACGCCGCCGCTGTCACTGGCTTCTCGGGGGATGTGGGGGGGGATCCAGAGCATTTGGCTACTGCGATGAATTTCCACGTGACGATGAACAAGCCACTTGGTTGAGCTTTCATTTGTGGCCAGGTCGCTTCCGAAAAAGAGCTACACAGCTTGGCGCAGTTTACCTGGTTAAAAACAAAAAAAAATCTAAGTTTAGTTTTAGTTTGTCACCTGGGCTGACCCATGCTGGCGAGTTCGCTGTGCAGGTACCCATGCATGATGTAGCCCACAGATTACCCGCATGCCTCTCCACCTCCAAAGCCTTTCATCTCCCTCCCTCTTTCATCCCTCGATCATCCCTCCCTCCCTTTGTCCTTTCCACTTTTCATCCCTTCTGGTCTTCTTTCCTCCCTCCCCGTAGCCTTTCATCCATCTCCCTCCCGCTCTACAGGCCGTGTGGGCGAGTGCGGCGCTGGGATCTCGATGAGACGCTATATTCCACAAATTCCGAAGTCACTCGGGGTGGGAGCGGAGAGGTCACAGGGACGGAGTTAATTAACCCGGAAGGGCGACCGTGGTGCGGGGTTGGGGTTAGAGTTAAGGCGAGGGCTGCAATTATTTTTAATCGCGAATCAGCATTCCACAAGACCGCTGCTGGCCTTCTGTGGGAGCAGTGGCGCGGTGGTTTGGTGCGAGGCAAAGCCGTGTCCGCTCACTAAATCTCCACGATTCCGTTTGGGTTTCATCGCGGAGATTGAGCGATGAAATCGGCTCGCGCGCAGGAGCCAGGACGAATCGTCTCATCTCGAGACCGTGACGCGAGATGGTTGCGGACCGGGGGAGGCCTTCATCCAGCCGTGGTCGGACCGTGGCAGCAGCCGCCACCGTGGCGGTGGCAGCTGCTCCTCAAGTTTTGCCACCTTAGGCACAACACAGGACCTGGGAAAACTCGACGAGTCGCATAGTTCTCTCTGTGAACGTCTAACCCACGCCGGTTCCTCGGGAACGACGGTAAACTGACGTGCGTGAATCCACGGGGAATCCGCCTGAGGGGGGCTGTGCCCTCGTCTCCCTGGCGAACTGAGTTCGTCTTTTACAATCTGAACCAATCGGCCCCCTCAACGATCGCGGGGGGCGTTGTGAAACGCGATTCCGCTGGGCGAGTTTTGTCCGTCGCGTGATGCACTCGGGAGAGTGAAAGTGTCGGGGGGGGGAGTGGGTGAAGGGGTCCTTTGGGGTCGTGGTGACATCGCGATCGGTGTTGCTCGTTCTACTCTTCTGCCCCCACGCTCCGCAACTGCCTTCCCCCAGCTGTCGAAAACTTAAACTGCTTTTGTTTTTATATTTTACCAGGTAAGGCCCCACTGAGCTATGTTAGCTCTTTTTTTCAGAAGCGACCTGGCCAACACAAGCGATAGCTCAACGAAGTGGCTCATCGTCACGTGGACATTTATAGCGGCTAAATACGCGTGATGCTCATTCTAAATGTGGAGGGGAAACACCGGAGGACCCAGAGAAAAATCCACGCGACCACGGGGAGCGAGAGACTATACAGCAGCAGCAGGCGTCAGGGTCGGGATCGAACCCACGACCTCCTGCGTACCAGGCGAGGTAGTTAACATCTCCTAGCCAGCGTGGCACCCCCCTCCCCCGTCCAGGCTCCACCAGTGGTGAGTGATCGTGCCTAGCTGGGTATCGATTAACGACTCCGTAGCCTGTGCTGTCTCCACGCAACTCCACTTGCCCCCTAACCTCCGTGCGTGCAGTCCTTGTCACCGTGGTTTTTGTTTGTCTGGTGGCTGTGCTGTAGGAGAAAAACAACAACCCCTACTCGTGTAACAGAGTGCGAGTGCAGACACCACAGAGACAAGTTTGTGTAACCAAAAATAGATCGTACGGCCTCTGTGCATTATGCAACAAATCATCAGCAGTTCCTGAAGGAGTGCATTGTTGGATCTCTTGTCCTCAGTCGGTCACATTTGGCTCACGGTGACCTAGGACGAGTGGCGGCCACGCTGTGCCTCTTCGGGAAACGCCGATGGTTTATTTCCGTACAGTGCACACGTGGCCGCTTGCTCTTTACTCGTGCTCGCGTGCCATTTGCAAGCTGGCTGTTGCGGGGCGAGATTGTCAGAGGTTGGGAGGCGTGTTCATCCAGCGGTAGATTGATCGTGGGCCCCATGGGTGTCAACCGGGGGCACCTTTGCTCCCCCCCCCGTCCCGCCTCCGTGGTAAAGGCTTCCCCGACGATAGCGTGACGAGAGTGCGAAGAGCGATCCCGGCCGTGCCAAGGTGACCGTGCGTTAGTGCGTGCAGGGTAGGAAGGCGCTGAGTCGGCGCAATCTCAAGAACGTGATCCCCTCCTCCCCCCCCACACTGCGACAGATACAGCCCGAATGAATGATTGACATTCATTCGGGCTTGGCTGATGAGTTTGTGCGTGGGCGCGGTTTAAATATAAACGTAGGCGCCACAGTTATTTTACCCACAAGGCTGCAGTGTTTCTTCAGGGCTTCTTTTTTTGGTCTCCCAGAGGATCCCAGCCTGGCATGAATGTTTTAAATCCACTGCTGGATGAAGGCCTCCACGCTCGGGGTCGGGCTTGGGGGTTGTTCGACCGCCGTTTCAGGACGCTTGCCGGCGTGCGTATGGGGTCGGCCTCCTCCGTAGGCCGCGCCGGCTTGAACAGGCGGTGGCTGGCGGCACTCGCCCCGACGGTCTGTTTAAGGCTACGCGGGGGAATCTTTGTCTTTGTGGCGGGGGGCGCAGCACGGGGTGAAGGTGGCGGTGCTGGGAGCAGCGGGGGGCATCGGGCAGCCGCTGTCGCTGCTGCTCAAGATGAACGCGCGCGTGTCGCGCCTCGCGCTCTACGACATCGCTCGTGCGCACGGCGTCGCCGTCGACCTGGGCCACATCAACTCGCACGCCTCCGTCTCCGGTGCGGACGTACGCCCACACCGACACCACCGCCAAAACCACGACCGCCATTGCCGCCACCGATACCAGTACCACCAACGCCGCAGCCGACGTTAATGATGCCGCAGACACTGCCAGCACAGCCACCGCCACTGCCACCACCACCACCTCGACTACAATTACCACTGCCACCACCTCTATCACCACCACTACCATCGCCGCTGCCATCACCAACACCGTGATCACTACCATCTCTACCACAATTACCACCGCCATCACTACCACGTTTACCACCACCAGCTCCACCACCGATAACGAGAATGCTGATGCTGGTGATGATGGTGGCGATGATTGATGGGAGTAATGTTGGTGGTGGAGGTTGTGGCGGCAGTTTTGATTATTAACAATGCGGGTAATAATGACGGTGGAGGCGACGTTAACTATGATGGTGGTCAAGTTAATGACGATTGACGACGATGAAGACCAAGATGATGGCGACGCTTGTGATGCTCCGCAGCGCACCAGGGCGCCAATCAGCTGAGCGAGGCGCTGGACGGGAGCCACCTCGTCGTGGTCCCTGCGGGGGTGCCCCGGAAACCGGGTAACGACGACACGGCACAACGGGCACCGCACGCGGCACACCGCACCATCGCGCACGTCCCTCAGTCTCGGCGTTACTCTCGGCGCCGTGCCGCCATGACCCCCCACGTCTCCCACACCCCCCACCCTCTCCTTCACCGCCGGAAGGGATGACGCGCGAGGACCTCTTCACCATGAACGCTCACATCGTGGCGGAGCTGGCGGAGGCGTGCGCCATCACGTGCCCCCAAGCGCTGCTCTGCATCATCTCCAACCTGGTGAGCAGCCGGGATCACTTCTCTCACCGTGTTTTGCGGTTGCACCCGATTCAAGAGCCGAATGGCTCGCAGGGCTATACCAAATAAATGAACTATGATCTTAATTATCAATCATCATCTTCAACCTGCTGAGCGAGCCTAACACCTCCTCCGCATCATCGTCGCCATCAGCCGTGATCTTGAGATGGCGAATCCTTTCACCTCCGCTCACCGTTCCGCCCCGGCCAGGTGAACTCCATGGTGCCCATCGCATCGGAGATCTTCAAGAAGCACGGAGTCTACGACCCCAAGCGGATCTTCGGGGTCACCACCCTGGACGTGGTCCGGGCCAGCGTGTTCTTGGCCGATCTCAAGGTCGGTGCGGCGTGGCCAATCGGCTCCCGGGACACCCCTAGCACACGCCGCCGCGACCCTTCCGTGTTCCAGAGCGGTCCGCAGAAGCGGATTCCACAGAACATTTTTCCCCGAGATTCCTTTCGAGTGACGCCCAGCTGGTCGGGCGGGCTGTGTACGCAGCAGCAGCAGCAGCGGCGGCGGCTTCTCGCCTTCCTGCCGCATTGTAGCCGATCGGCCAGTCTGGCGTGTGGTGGGGTAAAGTGTGGGTACTCCCGCCTCCTCCAGCACGTCTGGCTCCCTAGAGGGGCTCTCTAGAGCGCCCTCTCGTACAGGCCTCGTCCACCAGCAGTGGCGTGAGCAGACACTTGCAGGGCTGCACTTTTACCTGCTACAGAGTGATGTTTGTCGCGTGATATTTTAATTCAAGGCGGGAATTAATTTGCATATTAAGCGCAGAACCTTGAATGTGACATTTTGTTATGGAGCCACTGGTTGGTGATCAATCTGATATCGATTCACTGCACTCAATCATAACTGCGTTCCTGTACAAGTCTATGGGTCCCTGTGTGGATCTATGGGTCTGGTGCGAGTCAATGGTGATCGGGCTGAGACCATCAACTCGCTCGAACCCAGTTCAGTCACAGGCAGTTGAAACCCGGATCTGAACCCAGGCTCTCGGCGTCTCCAACCTCTGATCCAGCCGGCCCCACCTCGTTTAGTAGTGACGCGTGTTACGTGGTCACTGCGTGCTGCCTTCCTGGTGTCTCAACATCCCTGTGTCTCCGTGTGCTGTCTCTGTGTGCCATCTCCGTGTGTCATCTCTGTGTGCCGTGTGTCATCTCTGTGTGCCATCTCCCTGTGTCTCCGTGTGCCGCCTCCGCACACACAGGGGCTGGACCGGTCGGCGGTGGAGGTCCCCGTGGTCGGAGGTCACGCAGGAAAGACAATCATCCCCCTCCTGTCCCAGGTAGTGCGGTGTGGTTCACGGTGTCATGTGGTTGTTGCTGTGGTGTGGTTGATAGTGTGGTGTGGCTGGTTGTGTTTTGCGGTTGTTAATTTGGTGGAGTGTGGTTAGTAGTGTGATGTGGCTGGATTGTGTGGCGTGGTGTGGTGTGGACGGTTTTGTGGTCGAGTCCTTTCCGGTTTGTTCCGCTCACACCAGAGCACAGTCTCCGTTCCTCAGCAACGTCGCACGCACCTTGTGATAGCGCCGCCCGCCCCGCCCGCCCGCCCGCCCGCCCACCACGCACACACGCCCAGTAACGTCGCGGTGTGGTGGCCCACAGAGCTTGCCCAAGGTGGATCTCGGCCAGGATCAGATCGAGATGCTGACCTCGCGCCTGCAGGAGGCCGGCACGGAGGTCGTGAAGGCCAAGGTCGGGGAAGGTGAGCGAGGAGTTTCCGCCGGCTCGGTGATTCTGACGCGAGATCTCTCGCGACTCCTTGGATTTTCCTTGCGACGACATTTAGTCCAAGCGACAATTGTAATCGTTGTGGCTCCCCGTGCTTCTCCGCGCGTCCCACTGCCTCCCCGTGCGCCAGGCTCGGCGACGCTGTCCATGGCGCACGCGGGCGCCCGCTTTGTGTCGTCGCTGCTGGAGGCGAGCGACGGGCACAAGGGCCTCGTGGAGTGCGCCTTCGTGCGCTCCGAGGAGACGGAGGCGGCGTACCTCTCCACGCCGCTCCTGCTCGGGGTGCGTACACGCGTACACGCGTACACGCGTACACACGTACACGCGCGCCCGCGGGCACACACGTGTGCGGAGCGGTAGTGTGGTGGGTTCGCCCACTGCTCTACGAACCCGGGGACCCGAGTTGGATTCCCGCTCGCGACCAATAACAGTGGTGAATATTTGAAGCGGTCCTGGGCTTCCCCTAGGTCGACTCGGCCTTAAGTGAGTACCTGGGTGCGGTGTGTGAAAACATCAGCATTGGTGGAGACGATAAAAGGCAGCTGGAGTGGTGCTGACTGGACCACCTCTTCATAGGTGCGCCCTGCCGGTCTTCAGAGGTGCTCGCGATCAGCACTTTCCCCCAACAGCTTGTCGAGGCCACGACGGGGGGGGGGATCGCTGGCTTTATGCGTGCGTACGTGTGCGTGCGTCTCCGTGGCGACCGGAGGCCGATGTTTTACCTGCGGCTTCCGCCAGTGCCGCCACTGGACGGCGTTAAACAAATCTCAGTAGAAGCAACAGGACTGGGACCTACGGAAATATTGACTCTGGGTCACAAAGCAGGCGTGGAACTGCCGTCGATGCCAATTAGCGGCGACGATGATGGCGACGATGATGAATCGGCTTGCGCTGGGCGCCACCGAGGATCGGGAGGCAACGATCGTTCTGTGTTTGTTTTGCTTTGCCGCGCCAAGTGAAGTCCGTTTAGTAGAGACGCAGTGGAGGTGCAGTGTCACACGCGGTGGCGAGAGCAATATCTGAAGCGGTCCCGCGCCGACCGGCGTGGCGACGTACGTTGGGTGGCCGCCATCCAGCAGTGGATTGACGAAGGTCGCGGCGTTGCGTGTTGCAGAAGCGCGGCGTCGAGAGGAGCATGGGCCTGGGGCCGCTGTCGAGCTACGAGGAGAAGCTGCTGCTCGCCGCCGTGCCCGAGCTCAAGGCGGCGATACGCGACGGCGAGGAGTTCGCGCGCAACTTCAAGTAGCGTCGCCACGATGGCTGCGGCGTCGTCACGGCAAACGACGTCGCTCCGGCCGCATCCTCGCTCCGGCGGCATCCTCGCTCCAGCGGCATCATCGCTCCAGCGGCATCATCGCTCCAGCCAGCCGCATTGTCGCTCTAGCGGCATCATCGCTCCAGCCAGCCGCATCGTCGCTCTAGCGGCATCATCGCTCCAGCGGCACCGTCGCTCCTCTCCTTCGGACGATGGCCGAAAGCCGGGTGGCCGTTGAAATCCAAGGAAGTGCCGATATTCACTTTACAAACAGAGCAGCAGCAGCCCGTGAGAGAGATAGTTTGGATCGGTAGCGATTATATTCGTTCAACGGTAACAAAGATGTTTACGCGTTTTGGTTTCAAAGCCCATGGCTCTCGTTAATTCTAATGAACCATGGGAAGCGGGGGGGGGGGGCGTGCAGGCGCTGTTGTTCCGTCGCTTGCTGTGATTGGTGACCCTTTGGGCAGTTCCACAATTCTGGATGTACGTTTCAGACTAATTTCGCTTGGGTGCAATCCTTAGTACAATCATGAAGTGGCCTTTTTTACATGGGGCGTAACATGCCAACCAATTAGGGGACGGTAGAAACTAATTCTCATGACGTACGGCAGGGCCCGGGCGTACTCGGGATGACCTTTCTCATCCCACGCTGGGAACGGTGGTGCCTGCAGTTTTGTTGATGCGTCAGACCATCGACGACTCTCCCCGTAAACAAGCCACGCAGCCCGCGGGCACGAACACGGGCCACAGGGTGGCTGGCAGCAGTGCAGGGGGTGACGCTCGCGCGCCGACTCGCAGCAAGAAGGATCTGGGTTCGGTTCGCGACACGGGCACCTTTCTCTCTGGGGTTTTCTCCTTGGAGTTTGTATGTTCTGCCCCTGTCCTACGTGGGGTGTTTCTCTCGATTCTTCGTTTTCTGCCCAGAGTTAAAAAACAACCCCATACAATGTAACTGGTTTTTGGCTAAACATCCCCAATGGTAAAAATCTGAAAATGTACACTGCAAACCACTCACTGGGATCCCACACAGCGGCAGTAGCAACATCGCCCCCGCGACTGTAAAAACTTAACAGGACCAACCTAAAGAAATCTTGAGACTCAGCGAGGCTTTTTTGGATAAAACAAGCAGAATAATAATGACTGAAAAATTATGCCCCACGTGTTATAATGCAGATAAATTTTGAAGTTTGACACTGTGGTTGCCTACTTTGTGGAACTGCCCAATTATTAATGTGAAGCCACCTGGCAATAATTTAAAGTGCCATACTTAGATGTGGAGGGGGGTGGGAGGGGGTGCAGGGGGTGGGTGTGAGGGGTGGAGGTATATTGGGGGGGGGATATGGGGGGGTTGGAGGGAACTTCACTGCACGTGCCGCACGCCATCAGCTCGATCTGCACCGACGATCACTGCGCGGTGCTATCGCCTCATCGACCCGTTCCCCCGGACTCGCGCTCACTGGGTTACCGGTCGGAAGAGCTGGTAAATATTTCTCCTTGTTCACTGAATCCCAATTGCATTGACGTAAAAAAATGCATTCTGCTCGTGTAAATATTTGTGCTCGGTATAAACACGAACGTCGACTCCACCGCCGCCAACGTTCACTCGCACGCTGCTCTTCGTCACCGAATCGAGTTTCCCAGAAGCACCTCCGTCCTCCATTTCACCTCTTTTATTTAATGTTGATGACGGCGTGCCGAGGCCTTCCTCATCCGGCATCGGAACAGATGACGGCCGTAATCGTGATGGTGAAATATTACCGTTGGTCCTTGGCGAGACATCTGAAAGTAGATATTAAATTTTTTTATTGCATCGAGTAGACGTCCCAAACGACGCCACCTCAAATTAACGCCACCTATTCCCGCACAAATGCAGGACTAATTGTAAACCCAGTAAGGGACCCGTATACCCCGTGTGACAACCATCACTCCCCCCAGTGCAGGGGTGGGGGGGGCCTTCGGGTTAACCGGTGGTGTAGCGATCAAGCGTGCGGGCGGTGAAACTTCGCTGGGGCCCACAGGCCGGAGGGACCCAGGTGCCGGGCCTGCAACCAGGGCCCCATGCCACCGACGCTCCGCAACTTGCCCTGACGGTTTCCCGCGGCTCGACTGCAAGCGTCCGCCTGTTCGGCTTGGCGTGCTCCTTCCGCTGCTGCCGTCAAAAGCCGCGTGTGTGAACGTTGCATTCGTGTTTGCAGGCTCCCGGGAAGCAGCAATGTGAAAAGTCGGGTTTGGTGCGAGTCGGGCGCTTTAATCGGTTTCTCGCGCCAGCGACCGCCCCGCGGCCGCCGTGTCCTCGCCAACAATGGCCGAGGCGTGACCGCGGCGGGGATCCGTGCTCCCCCCTCGGAGGGCGGCGACGCTGGCTCCGGTGGCACGCCGATGGCCCGGCGGCGGCGGCTCACAGCTCGTCGGGCCGGCCGCGTGACCGCGGTTCCGTGGCCCGGCCGTCGTCGAGAGATCGGGCGCAGCGGAAGCCGAGGTTGTCGGAGGCGGAGTCGGGGGTGTTCCCCATCCTGGGCATGGTGGGGGTTGGGGGGGTGAGGGGGGGCAGGTGAGGGGGGGCAGGTGAGGTGAGAGCAGGCCTCAATTCTAGCCGGGTCTGCCCGGCTCGGTGTACCCGGAACATGTTTCCACACCAGGCCACACCACATTAAGTATATACCTCTCACTGTGGCGTCACGTGCCACCCACTCCAGAGTGTGCCAGCTCAACCGGATAGTATCCGGTGAGAGACGAGTTCACGCGCGGCTACTCGGCATCGCCGCATCGCGTTCGTGTTTGCAGGCGTCTCTCGGCCGGCGGCTCGTTTACCTCGTGGTGACGCGAGCCCTGTGATTGGCCGAGCCGTCAGCCGTGTCGATCCAGGACGCCCCACGGAGCACGCTCATCGGCTGGGAGCGCGCGCCAGGGTTGGCGAACTCCGAGTCGGTCCACTCCCACACGTTGCCCACCATGTCGCGCAGGCCTGGGGGGAGCAACACGAAACACCTCTCATACCCGGGGGGGGTGGGGGGCGTGGGGGGGGGGGCGTGGAACCTACGATCCATGGGCCAAACGTGTGGCCCGCAATTTCAGTTCATCTGGCCCATGGCAAAATGAGGCCTACCTCTTAAAAACGCCCCACGAACGATATTTGTCCGTCACCACCGCAGGCATCTTAGCCGCACTAATTGGGTACGAGAGGGAGACTGTTTGACCTGGCAACGCTTTGCTTCTAGTTATAGCTCGTTCGTTCACGCACTGAGACCATCAACCCACTTCACTTGAGCGTCTGGTTTAGTCACAACCCGGTCTATGTGAGTCTATGGGTCTCTGTGCAAGTCTTTTGGTTTCTCTGAGTCAGTGGCGATCTGTGTAAGTGTCCGGGTCTCTATGTAAGTCTACAGGCCTCCGTATATATCCGTCAAGTTTCTGTGTGGAACTTAGTCTTTCTAAGTGTTGAGTCGCTACGACTGACTGCCTCTCTCATATGCTCAGAGTCTATTCACCGTCTTGTGAGCTATATAAATCCACATGGTATTGTAATAGTGTGATGTACAGATGCGTCCGTCGCATGCACGCACGCGGCTCCGTTGTTCTCCCACACAGCCTCGGGGGGGTGGAGGGGGGGGGTAAGTCTGCAGACTCGGCCACATCCAGACGGCAACTCTGCTGCTGCCACGCTTTAGTGCCCAACGTGGAGATGACAACGGAACGCGTGTCCCCTCGGGCGGTCGGTGTCTGTGACGTGCGCCGACGCTCCGCCCCCCCTATAGTGGGCAGCGATTTCATTCGACAATGAGGATTGCGGTTATTAAGTGGGGATTAAGGGGTCACGGCGCCCCACCGCCCGTCGACCGTGACGGGTCAACCCGCCTTGTGGAGCGGAACGGCTCCGTCGATAGCTTCTCCGGCTCGTTCGCGCTCGGTTATTTGCGTCGTACAGTTTTTCTTTTGTGTGCGATTTACGTACGTTTTTTCTTTGCTCTCCCGACGATGCGTTTGCGGGTTCTGCCGCGTGTTCTTCGGCACAATGTCCGACGTTTAGCTCCACGTGCTGCTGGGGAGCTGCTTCAGCTTTCCCACAAAACGTGGGAAAGAAAAAGCACACAGCCACTGTGCATTATGCACAAACCATCGGCAGTTCCTGAAGAAGTGCATTGTGGTTCTCCTATCTTGGCTTCTTCAGGAACGATGTCGTGAAGTGATGTCATGGCGACATCACTGTCATGGTGACATCACTGGAGCGATACGACGCTTCTGAGAGTGACTTGAAAGTTGAGTTTATTGTCAGTTTTCTGAAGAGGGGGGGGGTCCCCCAGTGCATGTAGCGAAACGTCGGACGTCGTGGGGCACGACACGGAATCGCATCAGAGAGCTACGCAGCGGAACAACCGCGGTGTCGTGGTTTCTTTGGATTCTGGTGACGGTGTCGCCGTTGCGGTGAAATTCACCGAAGTCGGTTTGTGCCGGGAACGCGTCCACGGGGCTGGTGCCGTGGAATCCGTCCGCCGCGGCATCTGCATCGGGAAAAGCGCCCTGGGGGGGGGAGGGGGGGTGAAAGGAGTGAGGGGGAAGTGAGGGGGGAGTGAGGGGGGGTGAGGGGGGATGACGCACAGAATGTAAACCTGGCGATCGGTGGGCGCGTAATGATGTAGCGATCGTGCGTGTGACATGCACGGCCCTTACGGGTGTCACGGATTACTAGGGTCGGGGAGCATAGAAGTACAGTTCGACGAATTGTTACATGCCTCGTGGGTCACGCCGTGGCCGGTTGTTGTCACACATGCGGGCGGGTTTTTCCCCTGTGTCTCGATTTAAGAGGAAGACCTCGTCCAGACAAACAGCTGGGGGTAGCGGCACACCGAGGCCGTCTGTGCTGTGCGGCACAAACGCTGAAGCTTCGTTAAGTTGAAGAATAAAAAAAAAATAAACCTCAAAGTCCGTTATCACACGTGCCGGCACAGCGCACGAGACGTCTCGGAGCGATGCCCCCCCCCCTCCCCCCGGTGACGTCCCTTGCATTGCCATGGCAGCGTAACCTGACCACGATTTCAGAGTTGCTGGAGCCCACTGCCTGCCAGTGTACCACCTGCAGGTCACTCCAAAGTCTCTTGCGGCGTCTCGTGAAGGAAGTTCGGTTCGGGCCTGCCGAGGAGTGCGGCTGCAAGAGGAGAGCCGGTTGGAGCCGGTTGTTGGTTCGGCGTCGCCCCCTTCGTGTCAAGTGGCACGAGGGACTTCCCGTCGTGGTTTCAAATTCACCGGCCTCTAGCTCGGAAATGTGATGGGTGCTTTAAGTGAATGGGATGGTAGCTGCTATTTTTCGTATCTCTCTGACACGGTATTGTATGTTCTCTACGAACTAAATAAAGAGGAAGTTCAATTGAAAAAAATTATATTACGTACTGTCATGTGTTCTCGGTGCATCCCGGGCCAGGTCGAGCGTCTTCATTTACGATAAAGCACGTGATGGCCAAATTAAGAAGTTAAATTGTTCTTCATCATCATCAGTTGCTTGCCCCTGGCTGAAACGCTATCAGGTGACCCTACCCTGAGCACGCCGCCACTCCAAGACCGTGACAGAAGAATTTATTTTAATAACATTTATTCGCACAGCAGAATTAAGTGCAGAGCCAAATTGAATGTGATGCGGGTTTTTTTTTTATGTAGTCATTGGTGACCGGGCTGAGGCCGTCAACTCGTTATGCTTGAGAACCCGGTTTAATCAAGGGGCAGAAACCTGAATTTGAACCGGGGTCTAGCCCTCTGACCTCCGAGCCACCCGGCCAACCCTGAAGCCACTGTGGTCGAGAGGAGTAGGTCTCTGTGGCCCTCCGATTAGTCGTGACCCCTGGGTGTTGTGTGGGCCATCACCTGCCAGAGGTTGGCGCGTCCAGTCTCAAAGTTCTCTCCCCACGGGTACTCGCTTGCTGACGGAGACAACACGACACGCGCGCGCACACGGTGGTGGGTGGTTGGCGAGCGGCAGATGTCAAAAGACGCCTAGATTATTCAGCTCACGATGTTTGTATTGAATCGTGGGCATGTGTGATAATTATCACACGTCTAATAATCGATGATAATCGATCATTATCACACATCTAATAATCGATTCTAATCGATGATGGCGGAAGAGGAGGAGGTTACCGGTAGCGAGCCGGCGTCCCCGCGCGGCGCGCTCCCACTCCTCCTCGCTGGGCAGACGCTTGCCGGCCCAGGAGCAGAAGGCGGTGGCGTCGCGCAGGCTGACGTGCACCACCGGGTGGTCGAGGCGGTCGCGGATGCCTGATCCCGGGCCGAACGGCTGGCGGGGAGACGCAGCGCGGAATGTCGGCACCGCGCAGGAGCATCGCGAGTGGAATCGTAATTAAACTTTTAAGAACAAATTGTTATTTTTTATTTGACCAGGTGAGGCCAACTGAGCTCTATGGAGCTCTTTATTCAGAAGCGACCTGGCTATCACAAATGACAGCTCAACGAAGTGGCTCGTCATCATCGCGTGGACATTTATAGCAGCCAAATGCTCAAAATGCGTGATGTCGATTCCAAATGTGGAGGAAAAAACCGGGGAGACCACGCAAACTCCAAATATACAGCAGGCGTCAAGGTCGAGATCAAACCCAACGACCTCCTGCATACCTGGCGAGGTAGTTAACATATCGCCACCGTGGCACCCAAGAATTATCACCGAGTGCCTCACAAAAACATGGGTAGAAATGTAATCTACAAAGCTGCGCAGTGGTTAGTGGGCCATCGGAAGGTCGAGAGTTCAAATCCCAGTCAGGATGTTATATAATAAGCGTACATTGCATATATTACGAATTTACAGCTCTCTGGAAATTCACTGCTGGATGAACACCTCCCCCACATCATGCCGGTTGTGGGAATTATTTGACCATGCTTCACCACGCTGCTTCTTCGTGCGGACTGACGAAGGGCGGTGGGACCAGGACCGGTTCAGATATCGCTCGCCACCGATGTTAGCCACGTCTGTTCTGGTTGCCAGGTCATAGCGCGGGGCACTATCGCGCCAGTGCCCCGCCCGACCTTTATACGGAGACCTCTATTTATTTACTTCCTCATCGGAAAAGGAAGACGGTGGAGTGGTGACGACACAGGACGAGCGGGCTCGGTGGGTAAGAGAGGGGTTCGCAGCCTCCGCGTCTCACCTGCCGCCAGTAGGCTCTCTCCACAGGCATCCACCAGGGCGCGCTCTAACGCACACAAGACACGCGTCACAAACATTCCTCGCCCATCAAGACTCTTACATCATAGAGCCCAATGCATATCTGACCAGGAACACTTAGCCAGTGAACTCAAGCACGTACACCAAGCGCTTAAGGCTAATGGTTACTCCGACTACACAATCCGCAAAGCTATCACTCCAACCATGAAGAAGGACCCTCTTGAGGAGCCTTTCAAAACCATCACTTTACCCTACATTGCAGGGATCACAGAAAAGATCTCCAAAATCTTGAATAAACACAAGATCCAGGTCCGATTCAACACATTACATAAAATCCGTGATCTGGTTCCATCTGTAAAAGATGTGATTCCGGACATACAGTACCCTGGCGTCTACAAACTAAGTTGCCTCCGTGGTAGTAGTTACATTGGAGAAGCCAAACGACAGGTCTCGGACTGCATCCGTGAACACAAAGCAGACCTAAACACACGGTAGGACCAACACCTCGGCCGTGGCAGATCACTTATAATTCAGTAGGCTCACATGACATTGACTTCTCCAAGACAGAAGTTCTTTGCAAGCCATCTGGCTACCATGAGAGATTCGTTCATGAGGCTATCCACATATACAAACACAGAGACAATTTCAACTGAGAAGATGGATTCTGGCTTAGCAATCATTGGAAGGATTTGATAAACCATTTCGGGTCTTAACTGATTGTTCACGCTTACAGTGGCTTTCAGACCGCATCCATTATTTTCGTCTCCTCCCTCCTCTTTTCCGAACATAGATGGACTCGTCCATCTGAATAACTGCCAAATCGCTCTCCGTGGTGCTAACGTTAAAAAAACCGCCACTTTTTTTTAATTGTCTTGCTGTGGTTTTCACACCTGATGATGATTGCTTGTGTTTGAGTCGAAACGTCGTGAGAATTTTATTGTTTTATATTTTTATTTTATTTTATTGTTTCCCTTCTACGTGACTTTACCAAAAGAACCAAGAATATTCCTCCCCCACTTTCGTCTTAACAGACTGTTGGCACAAGTGCTATTAGGGAGTAGCAACTATGAAGGGAGGCACGGCACACCAGAGGGTGGGTGGCCAGCGACACACCCGGCCGCCAGGTAGTCATTTAAGTTGACCTTGGGGAGGCCAAGGACCAGTTCAGATGTTCAACTCCGATATTGGCCATGAGCGGGAATCAACCTCGGGTCGCTGGGTTCACAGTGCACTAACCGCTGGGCCACTGCCTCCAATGACACACAGACACACAAAACCACACTTGCTCAGCCAGGCACCGCCGCGTGTTTGTGCTGAACTCCAACGCCACGTCAGTTTGAACAGTGACTGAACACGAACGAAGTTTTGCATCTAGAAATACGAGCTCATGGATGAAGACTGACGGAAGGTGATGACGAAGTCCTTCATGGTGACACAGCAGGACACAAAGATGGTTAATGAACGTGCGGCGGGGGCAAGGGGGTGGTCACGGAACCCGGCGTGGGCCACGCAGTGCGGCGCGACGTAGGTCTCTCCCAGACGTGGGTCTCTCCCAGACGTGGGTTTATCCCAGACGTGGGTCTCTCCCAGACGTGGGTCTCTCCCAGACGTGGGTCTCTCCCAGATGTGGGTTTATCCCAGACGTGGATTTATCCCAGACGTGGGTCTCTCCCAGACGTGGGTCTCTCCCAGACGTGGGTCTCTCCCAGACATGGGTCTCTCCCAGACGTGGGTTTATCCCAGACGTGGGTCTCTCCCAGACGTGGGTCTCTCCCAGACGTGGGTTTATCCCAGACGTGGGTCTCTCCCAGACGTGGGTCTCTCCCAGACGTGGGTCTCTCCCAGATGTGGGTTTATCCCAGACGTGGATTTATCCCAGACGTGGGTCTCTCCCAGACGTGGGTCTCTCCCAGACGTGGATTTACTCCAGACGTGGGTCTCTCCCAGACGTGGGTCTCTCCCAGACATGGGTCTCTCCCAGACGTGGGTCTCTCCCAGACGTGGGTTTATCCCAGACGTGGATTTACTCCAGACGTGGGTCTCTCCCAGACGTGGGTTTATCCCAGACGTGGGTCTCTCCCAGACGTGGGTCTCTCCCAGACGTGGGTCTCTCCCAGACGTGGGTTTATCCCAGACGTGGATTTACTCCAGACGTGGGTCTCTCCCAGACGTGGGTCTCTCCCAGACGTGGGTTTATCCCAGACGTGGGTCTCTCCCAGACGTGGGTCTCTCCCAGACGTGGGTCTCTCCCAGACGTGGGTCTCTCCCAGACGTGGGTTTATCCCAGACGTGGGTCTATCTGCGATGTGGGTCTATCCGAGACGTGGATCTATCTGCGATGTGGGTCTATCTGAGACGTGGGTCTATCTGCGATGTGGGTCTATCCAAGGCGTGGGTTTATCTAAGGCGTGGGTTTATCCGAGGCGTGTGTCTATCCCAAACGTGGGTCTATCCGAGACGTGCCTCGATCCTCTGTGTCACTTTACTCTTGAGCTCCTCCGGCACGAAGTCCTGGAACACGAAGCTCCAGCCGAAGCCCTCGGCCTCCGTGCGGTACCTCCGACTCCGCACAAATTCCCTGTGGAGCGTGGAGCGCAGTTGGGGGTGGGGGGGTGGGGGCAGGGGGGAGCTCAGTCCACCACAGACCTGGGCTCAATTACGTCAGTTACGAGTAACTTTTGATCTCATTTGTTATTAAATTTCAAGTGCTGTGACGTAGCCCAAGCAGTCACAGCGGACGTAGCAGGGTGTCCCGTTACGATATGCAAATAAAGTACCGTAACGATATTCAAATAAAGTAGGCCACATGTGCCAGCATTTTAATTATCTGGGAAACGCATAGCAACCGTCGCCCCCATCCTACGAGAACCTAGCAGGATCATCAAAAAAAGTTTTCAAAATTTTTTAGGCTTTCCTGGGTAATACAAATCAAATGCAATACCACGTACATGTACAATCCACTGCCGGGGATAAGGGTCTCCCTCCCCACGCCGTGCGGGTAGTGGGGCCTGTCTGACCATCCCGGCTACGGGTCCCTACCTGAACCGCTCGTTCGTGACGGGGCGGCGGTCCAGCCAGAAGGAGGCCACCGCCACCGGCCTGGAGGGGCCTTCCCCGTCGCGTGCGTCCTCCGCGTCCGTGCCCATCCTGAATACGCCGCCGGGAATCTCGACCATGCCGTCCGACTCCGCCGCGTCGTCCTCCACCTCCGCCACGTCGTCTTCCACCACTCCATCCTCCGCCTCCACCTGCGTGGCGGCGGCGTCACCTGCCAGGTGGACGTGTGGGTGCACCGAGCGTGTGTGCGTGCGGCACGGGTTTAAGCCGCGCGTCTCATACGCCAGTCCTCGCTGCCCGCATCATCGGCCATGATCAATCCACTGCTGGTTCTGGAATGCCGTTTTTGCCATCGCTAGAGTGGTGGCTGTGGCCTCGGTGTGTTGGTGAACGGGGGGAGGCGGTTTGTTTGGCCATACTTCACCAGGCTGGTCAGTGCGAGTTGGTGAGTGGAGCACATGCTATCTCGCTGAGTACCCGACTGTCACGGGTGGACCCATCCAGCCGAGAGACTCAGCGCTACAAGGCTCGGCGAGTCTTTTGGGACACAGAATCAGAATCTGTATTTATACTGCAAGAGGAATCCGATAAGCTAGAAAGCTCTTTTTCACAGATGTCCAGTAGGGGTGGGTCAGAACGTTATGACAACAAGTATAGGAAAGGTAAACAAATCATTTGTTAAAAAAATATGTACAAATAAAACTGAACTATTTTTTTTATTAAAATTTACTTGAAGGCAATGCACCGTAAAAAAACAACCCACAGGTAAATTTGTTTCGGGTGGGGGAGGAGAGGGGCATTCATTACATGAACATTAACCCGTACGGACTCGGGAAAGGGTTTAAAGTTCGACCCCTACCACGGGGGGTGAGCGACTCGGGCTGAAATAAATCAATTATTATAGTCAATAACAATGATTGTCTTGTGAATCCAATTAAATCAGAATGATAGAGTGCAGAAAGAGGAGAAGCGATCCGTGTCGTAAGGAGCCACGTGTCGTCAGGAGCCAGAACTGATCCCACAGAGAGACAGAACTGATCTCGCAGAGAGACAGAACTGATCTCGCAGAGAGACAGAACTGATCCCGCAGAGAGACAGAACTGATCCCACAGAGACACAGAACTGATCCCGCAGAGAGACAGAACTGATCTCGCAGAGAGACAGAACTGATCCCGCAGAGAGACAGAACTGATCTCGCAGAAAGACAGAACTGATCCCGCAGAGAGACATAACTGATCCCACAGAGAGACAGAACTGATCCCGCAGAGAGACAGAACTGATCCCGCAGAGAGACAGAACTGATCCCACAGAGAGACAGAACTGATCCCACAGAGACACAGAACTGATCCCGCAGAGAGACAGAACTGATCCCGCAGAGAGACAGAACTGATCCCGCAGAGAGACAGAACTGATCCCAAAGAGACACAGAACTGATCCCACAAAGAGACAGAACTGATCCTGCAGAGAGACAGAACTGATCCCGCAGAGAGACAGAACTGATCCCGCAGAGACAGAACTGATCCCAAAGAGACACGGAACTGATCCCACAAAGAGACAGAACTCATCCCGCAGAGAGACAGAACTGATCCCGCAGAGAGACAAAACTGATCCCAAAGAGACACAGAACTGATCCCACAAAGAGACAACTGATCCCGCAGAGAGACAGAACTGATCCCGCAGAGAGACAGAACTGATCCCGCAGAGAGACAGAACTGATCCCACAGAGAGACAGAACTGATCCCACAAAGAGACAGAACTGATCCCACAGAGAGACAGAACTGATCCCACAGAGAGACAGAACTGATCCCACAGAGACAGAACTGATCCCACAGAGAGACAGAACTGATCCCACAGAGACACAGAACTGATCCCACAAAGAGACAGAACTGATCCCACAGAGACACAGAACTGATCCCACAAAGAGACAGAACTGATCCCACAGAGACAGAACTGATCCCGCAGAGAGACAGAACTGATCCCGCAGAGAGACAGAACTGATCCCGCAAAGAGACAGAACTGATCCCACAGAGACACAGAACTGATCCCGCAGAGAGACAGAACTGATCCCGCAGAGAGACAGAACTGATCCCACAAAGAGACAGAACTGATCCGCAGAGAGACAGAACTGATCCCACAGAGACAGAACTAATCCCGCAGAGACACAGAACTGATCCCGCAGAGAGACAGAACTGATCCCACAGAGAGACAGAACTGATCCCGCAGAGAGACAGAACTGATCCCACAGAGACAGAACTGATCCCACAGAGAGACAGAACTGATCCCGCAGAGAGACAGAACTGATCCTGCAGAGACACAGAACTGATCCCACAGAGACACAGAACTGATCCCGCAGAGAGACAGAACTGATCCCACAGAGACACAGAACTGATCCCACAGAGACAGAACTGATCCCGCAGAGAGACAGACAAGAGAGACTCGGTGGGACAGGACTGAGACGGGCAGCCAGGAGTGGCCCAGGAGACAGGACTGGACTGTACCAGGCAGATAGGATGGAGCCAGATAGAGAGGACACAGACCCAGGACACAGACACTGACCCAGGACACAGACAGACACTGACCCAGGACACAGACACTGACCCAGGACACAGACAGACACTGACCCAGGACACAGACACTGGCCCAGGACACAGACACTGACCCAGGACAAGACACTGACTCAGGATACAGACAGACACTGACCCAGGATACAGACAGACACTGACCCAGGACACAGACGCTGACCCAGGACACAGACACTGACCCAGGACACAGACAGACACTGACCCAGGATACAGACACTGACCCAGGACACAGACACTGACCCAGGACACAGACACTGACCCAGGACACAGACCGACACTGACCCAGGACACAGAAACTGACCCAGGACACACACACTGACCTAGGACACAGACAGACACTGACCCAAGACACAGGCACTGACCCAGGACACAGACACTGACCCAGGACACAGACAGACACTGACCCAGGACACAGACAGACACTGACCCAGGACACAGACACTGACCCAGGACACAGACACCGACCCAGGACACAGACAGGCACTGACCCAGGACACAGACAGACACTGACCCAGGACACAGGCAGACACTGACCCAGGACACAGGCAGACACTGACCCAGGACACAGACACTGACCCAGGACACAGACACTGACCCAGGACACAGGCAGACTGACCCAGGACACAGGCGCTGACCCAGGACACAGGCAGACACTGACCCAGGACACAGACACTGACCCAGGACACAGACACTGACCCAGGACACAGACACTGACCCAGGACACAGGCAGACACTGACCCAGGACACAGACACTGACCCAGGACACAGGCAGACTGACCCAGGACACAGACACTGACCCAGGACACTGACCCAGGACACAGACACTGACCCAGGACACAGGCAGACACTGACCCAGGACACAGGCAGACTGACCCAGGCAGACGGAGAACAGCAGCGCCATTGTAAAGGCGCCGACCGCGACATTCCCAGCCATCGCGAGGGCAGCAGCGGCGGTGGTGATGGCGGTGGTGATGGCGAGCTGGTGCGAGAGTGATGGGTTGATAAGATGATGGATGGGGGGGGGGCTGTTCGGGGTGCTGAGTGTCACTGGGACCCCCCCTTAGCTACCCCCCTTAGCTACCCCCGATGAAGCCCCTCGGTGCGAACCCCGGGGGACCCGTGGGTGAGATGGAGGCGGCGCTCAGGCGAGGAGCGGCGGCGGTGTTGGTGGTGGGGGTTGGGGGGGGACCCCTCTTCGTCCACACAGCGCCCCCCCGTGGCCGCGAGGGGGTACGGGGAGCTAGGGGGGGGGCTACGGGGCGCGCGAGGGGGGGGGGCTACGGGGCACGCGAGGGGGGCCCTGCCTCGTTGGGTTTCTCATCTCAGGAGGTTTCAGCCAATGTATCAAACCCGTCAACCCCTGATCAGTGCTGCTACCTTATTACAGAGCGATTCAGACCTCGTTGGTCACCCCGTGCCCCTTATACATCTCAACGTTCATCCCACAAAGTCCCATCACAAGGAAGAAACACAAATTTTAAACAAAAGTTGCCCTATTAAAACGGCTGTACGCCGATGGACCTGAAAACTGAATTCCCCTGTACAATAATAACACGGGTAAAGGGCCGTCCATAAATGACGTCACGAGATTTTGGACGATTTTTGACCCCCCCCCCTCGTCACACGGCGTCACAAAAAGCCAGACCCCCCTCAAATATGACGTCACAAAGCTCTGCCCCCCCAAAAAAACGAAACATGTTTCAAATCGCTTTAAACTATTGTCATTGTAGTGCGCATTTAATGTGGCGCTGCACTCTGATGTTGTAGGAGAAAACATTTATTACAAAGTCTATTTAATTAAGTAGAACGTGTTGTCTATATTCATTTAAAGTTGCGCATTTTGATGTGACGTCACATTTCTCAACCCCCCCCCCCCTCGTCACACATCGTCACAAATGTCTGACCCCCCCTCCCCCCAGGTGCGTGGACGGCCCCTAAACCGTATGGGTTGACACGGTGTGGCTTATCATACAAGTGGCAGGAAGCTGGTGCATCCAGAGCGAACCATCTTCTCGGCTCCGAGAAAAAAAGGATTGACCTGCAGAGATAATTCGATCGCCTGAATATAAGGGAGATGCACGGGAGACCCGGGGCTGTTGCAGTGGGGGGCTTCGCCTGTTCGAGTGAACGTGGCTCCTTAATAAAGAAACCAGCATCAAGACAAGTGCGTTTAGGTCGTCATTACACAATAACCACGCAAACACACATTCCGATTCCCGGGCCAGCGGCAACCCGATCCATGCGCATCTCTTCTCTCAGCTCGCAAAAAGGCATTCCTGTTGGTCTACGCCTCCTTTACCCACCTACATCTCTTATATCTGTTTGGCCGTAAATGTGCTCACACACACACACTGCAGTTGATGTTTGTTTGTGAGAACTGCAGTCTGCAGTTGGTAATGCGAGTCGCGAATGGGCAAATACGGTCAGATCGTGAAGAAATTACACTCGTATACCCCCACGGGGGATGTTGCCAGCTTTAGTTTATTATGACTAATTCCAGGCATGCCATGACAACGTCCATCAACGATTTACCAATGAAAATGTAATTACACAGAGCGTGAATCTCAATGACTGCCAGCAGTAGATGAGTCTTCACTCTATGCGTGCATTCGTTTTATGAGGGAGGCTTGCCCGATTGTTTGAGAGGGATCGGAGACCCACTTGGTTCACACACTGTGCTAGGAAGCCGACGACCCGAGTTCGACTCCCGGCCAGGGCTAAGAAGAGTGGACGACGAGTGATATCTGAACTGGTCCTGGGCCGTTCACCCCCACTCACCTCACGACTCGAACCAACCAACATCGGCATAGTAAAGTATGGTTAAACGACCCCCGGGAACTAGGACATCATGAAAACGGCATTTGTCCAGCAATAGATCCACAAGGGGCTGTAAATTATTAGTAATATTATTGTCAATATTGCATTGATATTACGTGCACAATACACCATCAACAAATGTCTGGAAACACCAGAACTGAGAAGTAGCCAATTACTTAGCTGGCCATGGGGAGGAGGAAGATACTAGCTAACCAAACGCTAACCCTTCTCATTACTAAACCAGCTAGACATCCAGCCACCAGTACTAGCCCTTCCACTAACCATAACTACTCACTCAACCATTAGTACTAGCCGTCCCACTTACCCTCACCAACGAGCCACCCCGCCACTAGTTCTCTTGTTAGGGCTGCTGCCCCTCGACTCCCCATTCTCCTGTGCCCCCTCGCTCTCCTCTGCTCCCCCACCTCGCTACTGCTCCTCGCAGAAGCATGATTTAACTGGCTGCACTAACCAACTCGCAGACACGCCGCGGTGCCCTTCTCGTACACACCAACCACGAGCTGCACAGCGGCGAGAGTGCCCACGCGTACAGAACACGCGGGGCACCACAACGCACGGGCTCACAGTTAACGTGCACGGGGAACGCGCACGCGAGGGCAAAATATTGCGCTCGTGCGCAAATACAAGACACCATACCATGCACAGGCTCACCACACCACGCACCCCCCTCCCTCCCCGTACTCACAGAGACAACACGACACGGTTTAATGTCTACTGGTGGTTTATTCTCTATTTAACTAGAATGATTCTACTCGTGTTAGTGCGGGTCAGCAGGGCAGGTCTGTCCTATCTTCCGGCTGTTTAGGGCTCAATTTGCCTAGTCTCTCCCTACTCACCCCTCTACGGGATTTTCTCCTCGGACTTACCTCTCCACTCTATACTTACGCTCCGACCTCGAGGTGTAGGAAGCCGCGGAAAGGCGAGGCTGCACGTGGCTTTGGCTGGGAAACTGGACCCGGCTGCTCTCTGACCCGTCTCACGGACTGACCCGTCTCACGGACGTTCGGGTTATCCCCCCTCCCCGACGCCCCGCCCCCCATTGTTTAACCGAGTGCACGACTGAGAGGTCCTCGTCCTCCTGCACCGCCCCACCACCCGTCGTGCCACGGCGAGGTCCTTGCACACGTCGTTTACAGACCTTAAAGGTCAATCTGCCCTGCCCCCCCCCCGCCTACCTACCGTTGCGAGTGTACCTTGGGCATGGTAAAGGGCCTCGACCTGCTGCTGGTCCGTGAGTGCCTTTGGCGTTTCTTCATTGCGGTTCTCAGTGAGCTCGCCGTGGTCATACGATTTTAAGTCAATCCACGGCGCCGCAGTGCCATTTGGCCGGGGGGGGGGCTGCCAATTCCTTGGCCCTGAGAAACCGTGGAGCACCCCCACGAGGGGGGCCCTCGGGTGAAAACTCAGGGGCAGGTGACCCCCCCACGAGGCCCTATGTGAGTGCACGTGTGTGTTTATGTGGGGGGTGGTGGGGAAAGCGCTGTGACGGAAGCCGGGTGGTTTCTCTGCCGCAGCAGCACAGCGGCGGCCCCGGCTTCGGCGGAGCGGCTTCGCTGTCGTGGCATCACACTCTCACTAACCATAACTACCCACTCAGCCACGAACCCCTTGCCCCTAACCTCAACTCCTTCCCAAGGCCCCTCTTCCCTTTTGGTTCACTTTTCATTTTTGGTGTTCTCAGCACAGACCTCTCGAAGTCGGGAGGTGGGTCATGCGTGTGTTTGACGGAGATTGGATCGGTGATTGGCTTGTGTAGGTGTGAGGCCGGTGGTGGTGGTGTGTTGGCTCGTGGGTGTTAGGGTGGTGTGCAGCATTGTGGTGGCTCTATAAAAATGTACAGATTCTCATGCCCGTGACATGTGAGGGGTCACCAATGGCGATTGTGGTGACTGCGACGATGATCGTTGGTGTGAGAGAGAACGACGCCACTGATCCCCGCTCCTCTGTACTCAGGTCCCAGGGTGATGTGCCACCTCCCTAAGTGAGACCTGTCAAGGCAAAGACAATTCATTTATTGTCGAATTTTGTTATCTTTTTCAAATTCATATTCTTCTTGTCTTGTCACTAATGTGTTTTCTTGAGAGGAATTAACCTCTGTTGGCACACTAAAAAACAGTGCACACTAGGCTGGGTAGCTCAGAAGCCAGAGTGCTGAGCTGGCACTGCTGAGATCCTGGGTTGAATCCAGACAGCTGCCTGTGCTTAAACTGAGTTCGCAAGTGTAGTTGGTTGATAGTCTCAGCCCCAGAGTCTGGAGTCTGGCACTCAGAACTAGGAATCTAGAGCTCAGATCTGAGAATATAGAGCCTGGAGCCTAGATCTTAGAAGCTGAAGCTCAGAACCAAACTAAAACTAAACAAAACTTTTTTTCATTTTACCAGGTAAGGTCCACTGAGCTATAGAGCTCTTATTCAGAAGTGACCTGGTCACAAATTATAGCTCAACAAAGTGGATTTATAGCAGCCAAATATTCTAAACACATGCTTCTAAATGTGGAAGGAAAACCCAGAGCACCCGGAGAAAAATCCACACGACCACGGAGATAACACGCAAACTCCAAATATACAGACGCCAGGGTCGGCATCGAACCCACGCAATTCCTGTATATCAGGTGAGGGAGCTAACATCTCGCCACCGTGGCGTACAGGAACCTGGAGCTCAGATGCCAGAGTTTGGAGCCTGAAGCCTGTGGAGCTAAGAACCAGGGAGCTTGAAACCTGATGCCTAGAAGCGAACACTTGCAGGATTCACCTACCATGCCCGAGCTTGCAGTGGCGCAGGGCCTCGCCGAGGGAGGCACACAGGGCCGGGTCCCTCTGTCCCTGTGCGCACTCCATGAACTGCCGCAGCTCCCAGAGGCACTGCCCCTCGGCCGGCGTGTCCCTTCCTCCGTCCCCCCCTGCCTGCGGTGGGGGGGGGGGAACGATTCATGATCTCGCATGAGCAGCGCTTGATTTCACGCTCGATACGTTTTTGTGGTCGCTGCTAGGCTGAGCTAAGTACTTGACTATTAATCGTAGCCAAAGCGCGATGTATACTGGATGTGGTGTCCCAGGTGTGTAAATATTTTCGAAGGCGCTGACCCCGACGGACCCAGCTGAAATGAAGCCCTGTGCACGGGATGTCCACCCGTCGTGTCGTTCACTCGGCACACCCATTTCCAATCCCTCACTAAGAGCAGCCGTTTAAAGGGCAGCCGGTCTGTGTTAAAGTAGAAATTAATTTATAATTTCCTATCTTTTCCCCTGATTGTTTCCCTGATTGTGCCATCCGTGTTAGAGAACGGCCCACAGAATGAGATATCACAGACCTACCTCGAATGTTCCTTTAAGTGATCTCTGGTCCACACAAGAAGGGGGCAGCACTTGCCCACTTTGCCACAGAGATATAATATTGTCACCACACAATCTAGCCAATATTTGTAATTCCCAAAGCAGCAATTTAGCTAAAGTGCAAAACCAAATAAAAACAATTATTTGGTTTTGATGGCGGGGTTAACGACACATATATTTAAGCAATCTAACAAAAAAAACCTCTATTATGGATACCAACTTTTATATGATCGATTTCTTGTTAATTCACTGGTGTCTTGCTACGCTTAAGACCCCAATGTTTTCAAAGGGGCGGATTTGCCAAATTTAATCTCGACATTCGCAACTCCGTGATCTCGACCGACCCACAGACTCCCCATCAAGCCGCGGCACCTGGGAAAGTGCTTCGGAGTGCTGGGCCTCGGTGGCCTCTGAGCCTGAGCCTCCCTTCAGGGCCCCCGTGAGGACGTTCCCCACCACATGCCCCACGCTGGACCCGATGGCCACCCCGGCCGCGGTGCTCGCCATCTGAGCCAGGAGGCTCGGCTGCTGGGGGGTGGCGGGCGGTGGCGGGAGAGGCTGGAGAGGCGGGTGAGGATAGGGGCTGAGAGGTAGAGAGAGTGAGAGTGGTTCACACAAACACGTATGTTTACGTTCATTGATTAGCAGCGAGGTGCATGGGTCAGCGTATACAGTACTTGCACACATAAGGCGTGCATTTTAGAGAAAATGCATGCCGGGTGACTATTGGTAAAGCACCGGAATCACAATTGGAAAGTTGTGAGTTCTGATTGTGCTCACCTCATTGCTATTAAAAATCAAATGAGAGCATTTAGAGCGAGTTATCAATCCACTGCTGAATGAAGGTCCTCCCACACTGTCAGTCATTGTCAATGACGGATAACCAACACAGAGGTGACCCTTACATTGAGCGTTGGTGTCTGAATAGGGTCTTATCTGGGCGAAGGTTGGTGAAGGGGGAGACCCAGGATATGTTAAATATCACTCGTCACCTATGTTAGCCATTGCCTGAAATCAAATTCAGGTGGCCGGGTTCACAGTGCAGCACGCGAACCACTCTGCCATCGCTCCATCCGAATTGATCAACTCATCAAAACCAGGCCGAACATTTTAAACCGGGGATGACTTTAGTTCCCCTTAGTCTTTTGATTACTGCAATTGCGTATGTGCAGGTGACATGCTGCATCCGAGGGTGAAATGTGTGGCACAGAGCTAATTCCCAGGGCACTAAAATTAGATCGCGTGATACATGAAGGACCCCCCAGAGCTCATTATCCTGAGGTCGAGTGGAGTTCATTTCGGATCACAGCCTCTAGGGATAAAGACCCTCACAGCTGCTCATTAACTACATTTTGTGAAACCAGTGAATTGTCTCTCATCAAATTTTTAAAGCTAAGCAAGGGTGCAGCTGGATAGTGCTTGGATGGGTGACCGATCTGCACAAACACGTTGATATAAGCTGCAAGGTTACATTGCGAACAACAGAGTCACATCATGTAAGAATGAATGAGAAAACAAACCTTGTAAACTTAGAAATACAATGCAATACAACACAGAGAGTCGGCTAACACAACAGCCAACACCCCACCTGGTTGATTACGTTCTTCCAAAGATTGACAAATTTGAGAGAGAGACAAAACACAACCACGGAGACACACAGACAGACACAAGCAGAGAGAGACAACACAGAGATACAGAGAGAGACACAACATAGACACACAGAGAAACAACGCCTCTGTGTCGAGGCCTTAAATAGAGAGAGGGGGGGCAGAGAGAGAGGGGGCGGGGTAGAGAAATTAGCATGGCAATGAGTTGTGTGAAAATCCACCCCGTAGCGGACGGGGGAGAGAAGGAGCAAATGAACCTATAGACAAACAAGCCTGGCAACATTTTAGAGAAATAGGAAGTTTGAGAAAACACGTGACTTTACCGAAAGAACAAAAGAGTAATTCCTGAACCACCTCTACGGGGAGGATTTAAGTTTGTTTTCTCGCTCTCTGTGTCTCTGTGTTGTCTCTCTGCTTGTGTGTCTGCCTCCGTGTCTCTGTGGCTGTGTTTTGTCAATCTTTGGAAGAACGTAACCAACCAGGCTATGCGTTAACTGTGTGTTAACTGACTCCCTGTGTTGCATTGCATTACATTTCCAAATTTTACTCAGTTTGTTTTCTCTCTGTGTCTCTGTGTTGTCTCTCTCTGTTTGTGTGTCTGTCTGTGTGTTTCCGTGTCTGTGTTTTGTCTCTCTCTCAAATTTAGCAATCTTTGGAAGTACGTAATCAACCAGGTAGGGTGTTGACTGTTGTGTTTGACGACTCTCTGTGTTGTATTGCATTGTATTTCTAAGTTTACTAGGTTTGTTTTCTCATTCATTCTTACCTGATGAAGACTGCTTGTGTTGCAATCGAAACGTCGTATTCTATTATTTTATTTATTTTCTCTCTACGTTACTTTACCGAAAAAAAACAAAAAGAGCTTTGAAAATCAAGTAATACAGTATTTTGACAATTGTATTCCACGTTTCGCTGGAGATTACAGCCAGTATCATCTGGTGTTAAGAAAGCTCAGCTCTGACGCTCAATAGATTACGTGCACGCTCAGCCCGACATCGCAAACGTAAACTTTCATAGCCAAAGGAAGGCCGTGTTGGTTGATTTGGTCGTCATAACGGCAGATATCAAATGGCAATCCATGTGTAAAGACCCGTGCGGCCAAAAACAAACATCACGAATGACGGTGCGGTGATGATGATGATGACGACGACGACATACCTGACAGCCCCTGGCGGATCCCCTCTGGACTGGCGGGTTCTACTGCCACGAAACATAATGGCTTTGTCGCTCAAAATGCCCCCTTTTCCAGTTTGGTACCGGTTGGCTGATGCCACGAGTGGGCCGTGTACAGCGATGGAGCTGTCCGTATCAGCCGGCTCCCCGTCGCCTCTGTTCCGCGGTGGGCGAGACGGCCGCATCTGTTGGTCATTTCCTCCAAAATCCGATTAGCTGGACATCAAGGGTACATGCAAGGGGGCAGTGTCACGAATTATCTGCCCCGTGCTACTAAGCCAATTATCGAGAAGGTTCTCAGTCTGCTCCTATGTGTATGTGGGGGTTATTTGACCATACTTCACCACGCTGGTCAGCACGGGTGTGAAATTGGGGGGTGGGCAGCATAGACTAGTGAACATGCAAGTACAAACGATGTAACAATTGCATTGTCTGCATTATCCTCCGCTGCCAACCACGCAGCCTATAACACCTGTTATGAATGCTAATGGCTTGCAAGATAGAACGGGACCAGGCGCATATTCTAGGGGATTTGGTCACAGCTTTCGGCTGTGCTCGTGCATGGTTCTTATTCCTCGTCTGTGTGAAGCTGTGTGCTGGAGCCTCCAACCATTCCATAAACAGCGACAACTTGGCAGGCAAGGCCCTCCTGAAAATGAGTCATGAGACTCAGTTTTTTTTTCCTGAGTCAACGTAAGTACAGATTAGTTAACTTCGAACTTGTGTTGGGAGTTGGATTAGTTAGTTACCACATCCAGCTCCAAACGTGTGTTTCAAGTCGAGTTGCCACCTGTCCCTGATTTTCCAAGACCGTCCCTGTTTTGTCGATAGAAGTTTTCCTGTGAAAGCTGCAAGGCTTCCCGGGACATTAAACGTCCCGGTTTTTTTTCAGTTTCGCACCCCGATCATTGCAGCTCACAAGCGGCAACCCCTCGTCACACAAGCTCAACTCGAGCCCATCTGCGCGGGTTGTTCATCTTTGACCGTGAACACGGATCGTGTGCTAACCACGCAGTGGTTAGCACACTGCTGGGCTGTGAAATCGGCAATCTGGGTTCAATGCAGTAAATAGCAGTGGTGGAGTTGGTGATTATTATGGTGGTGGTGTAGTCAGTGATTGTGGTGGCTGTGGTGGTGGAGTTGGTGATTGTGGTGGTTGTGGTGGTGGTGAAATTAGTGATTGTGGTGGTGGAGTTGGTGATTGTGGTGGTTGTGGTGGTGGAGTTAGTGATTGTGGTGGTGGAGTTAGTGATTGTGGTGGTTGTGGTGGTGGAGTCAGTGATTGTGGTGGTGGAGTTGGTGATTGTGGTGGTTGTGGTGGTGGTGGAGTTAGTGATTGTGGTGGTGGTGATTGCGGTGGTTGTGGAGTTGATGATGATGTGGCGGTGGACGGTGTTTATTGTGTTGCCCCCCCACCCACCGCCACGATTGAAAACACACGCCTCTGCGCGCCTTTGTTGTGAGACAGAGGCGATGGCTCCGGGAAAGGAAACCTCGCGAGAGGAAGGCGTCTCGCGATAGCAGCGCTTAGCGGAAGCGATGCGGGGTGGAGCCCCGCCCCCTTCACCTCCTCCCCCTCATCCCCTCCCTTCTGCCGCGTCACGACAGAAGTCACCTCGTTCGCTCTCATCTCACTAGCACCCCTCACTCCGACTCACCTCGTCGCCACAAGCTACCCCTCACTCCTACTCACCTCGTCACCACAAGCTACCCCTCACTCCGACTCACCTCGTCGCCACAAGCTACCCCTCACAACTACTCACCTCGTCGCCACAACCTACCCCTCACAACTAGTCACCTCGTTGCCACAAGCTACCCCTCCTACTCACCTCGTCGCCACAAGCTACCCCTCACTACTGCTCACCTCGTCACCACAAGCTACCCCTCACTACTCACCTCGTCACCACAATCTACCCCTCACTACTCACCTCATCACCACAATCTACAACTCACTACTACTAACCTCGTCATCACAAGCTACCCCTCACTACTCACCTCGTCACCACAGTCTACAACTCACTACTACTAACCTCGTCACCACAAGCTACCCTTCACTACTCACCTCGTCACCACAATCTACAACTCACTACTACTAACCTCGTCACCACAAGCTGCCCCTCACGACTATTCACCTCGTCACCAGAAGCTAACTCCACACTACTACTCACCTCGTCACCACAAGCTACCCCTCACGACATCTAATCGCTACTCACCTCCTTACTACGAAATATTCTTCACCGGTTACAACAAGATAGACCCGCTGACGACCTCCACTACCCCGCCGCTCACCATCACGGCGAGTGCCCATTAACAGGTCAAGACGGCGACCCGCCACCTCGTCACACACGCCACCTCGTCACACACGCCACCTCGTTACTATCGTGCTCACGGAATCCTCGTCACACACGGAGCTCGCCTGTTGCTAAACGCCTCCACTGCCCGCGACTGCACCGACGTTGCGCGCCACTCGCCACTCAAGTTCGTCGCTGCACGCAATCGGCCTCGCTCAACCATCGCCAAATCAACGACACTCGCCACACTCGCCTCACTCCTCCACTCCGATCGACAAGTCGCCTCGCTGCGACACCTTCGCCGCCTCCTCGTCGCGGACTGCGGTGAGAGCCCGGGGACCCTGCCTACAGTACACCGTGAACCACTGTACAGTGCACCTAGCTACAGTACACCGTGGACCACTGTACAGTGCACCTAGCTACAGTACACCGTGAACCACTGTACAGTGCACCTAGCTACAGTACACCGTGGACCACTGTACAGTGCACCTAGCTACAGTACACCGTGAACCACTGTACAGTGCACCTAGCTACAGTACACCGTGAACCACTGTACAGCGCACCTAGCTACAGTACACCGTGAACCACTGTACAGTGCACCTAGCTACAGTACACCGTGAACCACTGTACAGTGCACCTAGCTACAGTACACCGTGAACCACTGTACAGTGCACCTAGCTACAGTACACCGTTAACCACTGTACAGCGCACCTAGCTACAGTACACCGTGGACCACTGTACAGCTCACCTAGCTACAGTACACCGTGAACCACTGTACAGTGCACCTAGCTACAGTACACCGTGAACCACTGTACAGTGCACCTAGCTACAGTGCACCTAGCTACAGTACACCGTGAGCCACTGTACAGCGCACCTAGCTACAGTACACCGTGGACCACTGTACAGCGCACCTAGCTACAGTACACCGTGAACCACTGTACAGCGCACCTAGCTACAGTACACCGTGAACCACTGTACAGTGTACCCAGCTACAGTACACCGTGGACCACTGTACAGTGCATCTATCTACAGTACACCGTGAACCACTGTACAGTGCACCTAGCTACAGTACACCGTGAACCACTGTACAGTGCACCTAGCTACAGTACACCGTGAACCACTGCACAGTGCACCTAGCTACAGTACACCGTGGACCACTGTACAGTGGACCTACAGTACACCGTGAACCACTGTACAGTGCACCTACAGTACACTGCAATACAGCGCGTGCTGTGACCGGCAGCGTAACAGCAGTGTTGCACAGTACACGCGTGTACTGTGCGACACTGCTGTTGCGTGTACTGTGCGACACTGCTGTTGCGTGTACTGTGCGACACTGCTGTTGCGTGTACTGTGCGACACTGCTGTTGCGTGTACTGTGCGACACTGCTGTTGCGTGTACTGTGCGACACTGCTGTTGCGTGTACTGTGCGACACTGCTGTTGCGTGTACTGTGCGACACTGCTGTTGCGTGTACTGTGCGACACTGCTGTTGCGTGTACTGTGCGACACTGCTGTTGCGTGTACTGTGCGACACTGCTGTTGCGTGTACTGTGCGACAGCAGTGTCGCACAGTACACGCGTGTACATTGGCGTCCGTCGCCGCGGTTCAGAGTTTTTGAATTGACGGCTTCACTGCCCGGCAAGGCCTCAACTCTTAACGTTCTTACCCGGCCCCTCGCGCTCTATAGCTCATCGGATTCCTCCAGTATAAATACATATTCTGGCACCTGCCAGATTTTGTTGTTGCTGCAGTCGAGGGTGAAGATTGCTGCTGTTGCTGCTGTTGTGTCATCGCAGTCGAGAAATATCGGGCGTACTCTTTTTTCACATTTGAACCCTGACTTCACAGGAACGTCGACTGTGAAGCATACTGCGTGTAGTATCATTATTTATGGTTCATACCCCACCGCTCCCCACATCGTAGTATTAATCAGGGCGGTCGCTCTAGTCGAACCGTGACCCCTGCAACAAGCGGCGAACGCGCCCTCCGGCTATGCTGTGTCCACCGGCAATAATCGCCGCTCCACGTGGCGCTTGGGGAGTGGAGCCTCACTTAGACACACATCTCTAGAACGACGTTAGAGCCCACATCATTGAGCCTCATTAAGCAGTTCAACCGGCTCTGTGAAATAATTCCGCGCCTGGTAGAACGTCAAGAGAGTACCTCTCACTATGGATGTGGCAACGAGTCACGTGTCACCTACTCCTGACTGCCAGCGATACCCGAAACACATTCGGTGATATGCGAGTCGACAACTTCTGTTACAGTGCGTGTCGTTAGCCTTATTTAATAACCCTTGGTTGATCCACTGCTGGATGAAGGCCTCTCCAAGCTTTGCCACGTAGGATGTTCGTTTCGCATATCACTCACCACTCACGTTAGCCGTGGCTAGGAATTAAACTCAGGTAGCCGGGTTTTCAGCTAACCACACTGTGGCCACTGCTTCACTCGTCACAAGTGTAACTCGGTTTTTCTCAACTCCAATTTTCGTGGTCTCCCATCATTCTTCATTGTTGTGCCTAAACATATTCCCTTTTCATATACAAGTGATTCCACGCTACACTGCACACATGTACAGTAGCATTTTACATTTTTCCCATCGCCAGATTTTACTTTTCATCCAAGACGCACGCTCTCTTGCCACGCGTTCACAGGTGGGTTTCACGAACCCACTTGCTGCATTGCCACCTTACTGTGTTATTTCGTTAACGCTGCACGCGTGTCACAGGAATCCAGCCTCGGCTGGAGCACCGCCAGCTGGGAGGAGGAGGTGAAGGAGGTGGTGGTGGTGGTGACCACCAGTAGCAGAGATGGGCTCCATATTCCGCAGCGAGGAGATGTGCTTGGCCCAGCTGTTCCTGCAGGACGGCACCGCCTACAGCTGCATGAGCGAGCTGGGAGAGATGGGTCTGGTGGAGTTCAGAGATGTATGTACAGCTCGAGTCTAAAACGGTCTCTCAAGTGCGTTACCAATGTAACCGCATCTCAAACCTCTTTGCCGACTGCAAGGCATTCATTTCTGTTGACCAATGTCACGATTCGCAATTTCTCTTTTGGATTAGATCATGTGGGTAATAAAAAGTTAATTCAAGTAGGAATTAGAAGGGGCTGCTAATGGTGAAAGACAACTTAAGGCAGGTCTGTGATTGGACAAACATATGGGCTATGAATGGGTGAATATCTGCAGAGATGGTCAAGCTAGAAACTCTGTTTCCTTCCCTGCATCTGTGGGAAACAGCCACTCGCTTTTTGTTTTGAGTGCACGGGAGAATCCTAGGGGAGGAGGAGGAGGGTGCAGGGAATATCACTCCATCTCTGCGGTGCACGTGCTCTTGAGCCACGATGCCCAGCTCAGCTTGAACTTTTACTCAATGAGGTCAGAAACCAAAGGGGAAACAAGAATCCATACGGTAGCAAACTGCGCGAGTGGAACTTGGTGATTAGGTGTTGACTTGGTAAAAATAAAACCACAGGCTTTGGCGATTGTGATATTGTACAGGCATCAGCGTTATTGGCAATGGTGACACCTTGACCTTCTGATCCGTGGACTCTACACTTTATAAATGCTGATAATGTTGAATGGGGTCGAACGGTGGTGCAATGGCTCACGCACTGCGCTATGAGCCCTACGACCTAAGTTTGATTACTGATCACGGCTCATTAGTGGGGATCGATATCAGAACCTGGGTTTCCCCTTCACCAAGCCACACTGACCAGCATGGTGAAGTGTGGTAAAATAACTTCCTTGACTGACAGTTTACAAAGGCCTTCAACCAACAGTTTACTGACAAGGGTCTGTAAATTATTATTATTACGTTGAATGGTCCCGAAGGCTTTTCTGTCAAAATATTTCCTTTCCCCTAGCATCCAGAAGGACAAAAGTAAATCCGTTGCTAGGATTTTGATTATATATTGTTCATAGCCATTCACTACAAACCGTGCTCGCTTGAGGCGGTCTCATTGTACTGTGGGATATAAAATAACTTTTGGGCATTGTAAAAAATATTGCACTCTGGTTTTCCCACGAAAGCCCAGCGGGTATGTTGTGAATGTGAAAAATTAAAGTTGTTATTTGAGCATGAGAGGCTTATGTCCAAAGTGATTTGTATCTGATTGTGCCTTGTGGACCAGTAGTGAGTGTGTGCGTTTGGAGTGGGGGGATGATGGCGCAGTGGTTAGCACACTGTGCTACCAACCTGGCGATTTGAGTTCCCTTCCAGGCCATGGCTAATGTCCGTGGCGAGGGTTTTTTTTTAACCGGTCCTGGGCCTTCCCCCAGCTCAATCCAGCCTTGAATGAGTACCCAGTGTTGCGTGTAAGCATCGCCACTGGGGAAGACGAAGGCAGCCGAGCATGGTTCTGCCCACACCACCGGCTCGTGCGTCATGCCAACCGTGTTGGATTGTTGCTCACAGCACGTGAGCAAGCAATCTTTACGGCTATAGCAAGATCTTTGTCATTTGTCTCTTGTGTGTCATGTGCTTGGTCTTCAGTTGAACGCACAAGTGAGCGCCTTTCAGCGGAAGCACGTGGCGGACATCAGGAGGTGCGAGGACATGGAGAAAATTCTCAGTGAGTGTAATTGTGGAAAATTAGAAACTTGTGGTTTATGTTTTCCTAGCGTCACAGGATGGAATACTTCATATACTTGCCAAACATTTATATTTCTTGCAACTGTCTTGGCTCAATTGTGATGTTTGCATTCATGGCTTGGTTTTAACTTGCATTATATTCAGGTTTATTGAGAACATAAGAAGTGATCATCATCAGCCATGATCACTCCACCGCTGGGTGGTCTCCCCAAGTCATCATCCATATCTCACATTCTTGCGATGAAGCAATCCACCTGACACCTGCACACAAACTGATTTCCTCGCTCCATATCCAGAGTGGATGCCGTGTTGTTATCGACCATCATGCCTTCTAACTGTGTGTCCTGCCCAAAAACCCGCTTTTATTCATAAAAAAGCACACATCTGTTTCCCCACATAAATAATACACTTTTGTTTTTAAATGAATTGCTGCTGAAAAAATGCACTACCAGAAGGGCCGTTCGACCGATGGGACGTGTTAAAATAAATACTTTAATTTATTCGCAGAGAAAGATGTGGGAGGAGGGCACAGAATTTGTGTTTTTTTTTCTACGCGCTGCCGCTAATGATCGATTCCTGTTACTTTTCTGAACGGTCAATCCGATGTCTCTCACTTGTTTCTCTGATTCCTTGCGTTGGTGTCTCTCAACGTGATTACAAACGGTAACGGCATGCTTTATTCTGCCCGTGTCTCCGCCTGCCCCTGTCGGCCATCGCCCAGATTACATCGAGAAGGAGATCACGAAAGCCGGCATCGTGCTGCCTCTGACCAGCGGAAATCCCCGCGCTCCTCTGGCCCGTGACTTGCTGCAGATACAGGTCCGTCTTCGTTGTGTCAGCCAGGGCTGTCCGATCTGTTGATATTCTCGAATCATTGTCATCCATTATCTATTCACTGCTGGAGGCAGACTGCTAATTCTTATGCAGCTACGTGTAAATGATCGCATTGAGTAGATGGTCATGAGGAGGCTGGAGTAAAGGAAGAAGTAATGAGCACGGTTGAACACGGTATGGATGAGATAAATGGTCAGTCCCAACATCGGTGAGTGAAACTGATAGGAACAGTGACCGTGGTTGTGGCAGTAAGGTGGCGGCACAGCGGTAACGCTTGTGTCTCACACCAAGAAGCTCCTGAGTTGGATTCCCGACACGGGTGCCTTTCTATAAGGAGCTTTATGTTCTCCGCTGCTCTGTGGGTTTCCTTGGGGTTCTTTAGTTTCCTCGTAGAGCTAAAAAAAAAATCCCATAAAATGTAACTGGTATTGGCCAGACATCCCATATGAGCTCGCCAAGGCTCAAACTGATAAAACAAATGTATATGCACATAACCAGCGTGGTGAAGTATATATATATATAACCTGTGAACTGGGATTACACTTCATTTCAGAAGGGTCCTGTCAAGTTTACTCAATCGGGGGCCGTGTTGCTATTTGGGATTACACGTAGCAACTTCGCCCCCTACCGCAAACAAACTTTGCAGGACCCTTCTGAAAAAAGAATCGTAAAACTCAGTGTGGCCTTGCTGCTGTGTTAACAAAGCATAAATTAGAGGGAGGTACAGACTACACGGAGGCATATTTGTCGTCGTGTTTACGCGTGCGTGCACCGTTGCGCGCGTGTGGCTCAGACGGAGTCGGAGAAGCTAGAGGGGGACCTGCGCGAGGTGAGCCGCAACCAGGACACGCTGCGGCGCAACCGCCTCGAGCTGGAGGAGTACTCGCACGTGCTGCGCATCTCCGAGACTTTCCGGGACCAATCCGAGGTGCCATCACCCATGCTCCACACGGCTCTCCACCTTCACCCCCACCCCATCCCTCGCGCATTATCCCCCCCCCGCCCCCCCCCCTTCTACCCCACCCGCACGCCGCATCTCACCCGACCTCATTTCACATGAAATTTATGGGCAAATGTGATTGATGGAAATCGTAAAAAAAAAATTGTTATGGGTTGAAAGTTTGGATTTGCATGCACACAGGCATATGATCTCGTCAAGGCTGAAACTGATCAAAAACAAAGCGTGGTGAATTATGATGAAATAACCCCCCCCACAGCCTGCACGGTGTAGGGAGGCCCTCTCATCCAGCAGTGGATTGACAAAAGGGTGGTATATGCCCACACAATTAACTTACGACTGTCAAACCATTGCCCTCTACTCACAGGCTCGTGCCCACTTGCAGGCCAGTGCCCAGTCAACTCGTGCTTAAAAGGGACAGCTGCCAATGGGGGTCCCCTTGGAATGTTTGAAATGAGATGCGATAAAAGGCACTTTGAGTTGCTCAGACATTTACTCTTTATAAATGCAGAGATCAATATAATTAAAATGATTGAAATTTAACTTGTTCAATAAAATAAAAATTGGTGGGCGTTGCCTGTCAACGTGAAATGCCACCCGCTGGATCAGCTGGTCCGTGCCCTCTCCATCGTGTTCTCTCTTACTACCGTGCAGGAGCAAATTATCGAGCAGGCACCCAGCGAGTACGAGGAATTTCCGTCAGTGGAAAAGGAGCCGCTCGTGAACTCTGGGCTTGTGCAGCGCCTGGGAGCCCGACTAAGGTATGACCGCGAGCTCACTCTCTCGTCGCGGTTCAAGTCGCAGAGCAGTTTCCTGCTCTGCTCAAATTACCATTAAGGCATTGGCACTCCCCTCGAGTTGATGGCCCTGCAGAGCCAGTGGTGGAAATTATGCGGACCTGAGACAGGAGCGAGCCTCTCCTTAAGAAAACCGCTGATGACTTTCCCTGCAAACTTGTACTCATCTTATCCATCCTAGAGGAATGAGTCAACCCCCCCAACCGAGATTAGAACTTGCAACCTTCTGATTGCTAGCCGCTAGCTCTACTGCCGATCCACTTGCTATTCACGTGCAGTTAAGCCAGTGCATGCTGGTTGCATACATCTGCAACATTCTACTGAATGATAATAGGGTTTTCCCCTTTCTGGCATAATAGGGAAAACCCTATTATAATTTAAAACTGGCAAAGGATGAATGTCTTCCCTCTGAAATATTTTACTTAACGGGTTATTCAGGGTGTCAAGTGACGTAGCAAACACGCATGGACACGTATACAAACATTAAATCTATAACTTACAGTCCACATGATGTAATGAACATCACACCGCAGTCAAACGCATAAACAAAAACATAATTGCACCCTGAAGATGGACGCTTTTGTTGCAACCGAAGCGTCGTGTTTTTAAAATTATTTTTTCTATCTACGTGACTTTACCGAAAGAACCAGAGTATAATTGCAGAAGTTTATTACCTGGTACATCATCGTGAGCCTATATGCCCTACCATGAAGATGTTCTCGTTATAACTATAACGCTGTACTTTGACATGTTATAAACACTGCGCCACCTCTCCACCCCCCCCCCCCCCCCATGAAGTATGAAGGTTTATTATTAAAATAGTCCAGCAGTATTTATTGTTTTAATTCTGCTTCACATCCCCTGCCCATTGCAGAGAAACAGGATGTAGATGACGTGGCTCCAGCTCCTCTCTAATGGACCAGGGCGGGGGGGGGGGCAGTAGAACTGTGGTGTGGGGGGCAAGCAACCGTCAGAGTGATTCACCACTAAGGAGGAGAGTGACACCCTCGGTGGTGCCAAAGAGGGGGACACTTTGTGGTGCAGGGCCCACCCCAGCAGACCGCTAGCGCCGGCCCTGAAATAACAGCTGTTCTCTTCATTGGTGCGTGCGTGCTTCCGTGTGCGCGTGTGTGTGTGTACGTACGTGCGTATGCGCGCATGCAGCTTCATTGCCGGCGTGGTGCACCCGTGCAAGGTGGCGGCGTTGGAGCGGATGCTGTGGAGGGCCTGCCGTGGCTACATGGTGTTCCACCAGATGCAGATCCCAGAGCCTCTCGAGGACCCCGACTCGGTCTGACTCGCCAACTCTCAATGTCTCACAAAGACAAAAATCCCCCGTTGTAGCCTTAACAGACTTGGGGCAAGTGCTGTTAGCAAGCACTTATGAAGGCCGGCACGGCACACAGTGGGGTGGGTGGCCAATGCCACGTTCAACCACCTTGGCCTTCCAGCCCCCCCCCAGTGGGGATGTTTACACGCTGAACCAGGTACTCATTTGAGGCTGAGTTGACCTTGTGTATTCATATATTCATATACACAAGGGTTATTATGTTCATATTGATCGTGGCATGACGTGCGTGGTGTGTGGAACAGGGCGAAAATGTGAACTGGTGCGTCATCCTGGTGTCGTACTGGGGAGAGCAGATCGGCAATAAGGTCCGGATGATCTGCGAATGGTGAGCTCTCACACTTTCCGATGCATATTGCTCACCTCCCCCCGCATAATCATCGGCCACGATCAATCCGCTGCCGGATGAAGACCTCCCCGAGCCGTTGCCATCTCTTATGATTCTCTCGATCCAAAAATCTACCCAGCACCTACACGCGAGATGATTTCATCGCTCCCGCCGCATTCCATTCCCTTGGCCGTCGCTCCGTCATCGTTGTCGACTGTCGCTCAACTGCGCCTTCCTAGCGACTCGTGAAACGGAGGATATGTGTCCAGTAACCATTCCCTTCCCGCTCCCTCCCAGCTACCACTGCCACCTCTACCCGTACCCAGACACGCAGAAGGAGAGGCGAGACTTGCTCATGGGGCTGTTCACGCGCATCGAGGACATAAAAGTGGTGCGTTTCTGGTACACCTCGGAGAGTATCAGCTGGTCGCAACTGAGGAAGGCTTTGTGTCACGTATGGATGGGTTTGTGTCACGTGTGGATGGGCTTTGTGTCACCGTGTAGATGGATTTTGTGTCACCGTGTGAATGAGTTTGTGCCATTGTCTGGATGGGTTTTGTGCCACTGGATGAGTTTGTGTCAGTGTGTGGATGGTTTTGTGTGTGTTTGCGTAGACTCGTGATGTTACAATGCAATGTCATTGTGACTGTCTCTCAAGATGCTATACAGAGACTACATGCATTATTTATCTTTATGAGATTAGATTATTTTCGATTCATGCAAATTATACGCTAAATGTAAAATTTAAGCAAACAGAGTGAACAAAACTGTACAAACGGGGGAATTTTTTTTTTAACAAATAGTTATTTCTTAATTCAGATCGCAAACCCACATCGGAACGTTTCACACCGAGCAGACAGCATCAGCAGTTAATTTCCTGATCCAACAACCCACTAACTCACCCTCACCCCCACCCTCGTGGCAGGTGCTGCTGCGCACAGACGATTACCTGCGCCAGATGCTGCTGAAGGCGGTGGACAACATCAGCACCTGGCAGCTACAGGTGAGCCGAGCACGTTGGCAGCTCAATACGTGACTCTAAACGAAACTATTTTTTATTTTACCAGGTAAGGCCAACTGAGCTATATAGCTCTTTTTCAGAAGTGACCTGGCCACAAATGAGATCTTAACAAAGTGGCCTATCACGTGGAAATTTATAGCAGCCAAATACTCTAACCGAACGTTGATTATAAATGTGGAGGGAAAACCCAGAGGACCCAGAGAAAAATCCACGCGGCCACGGAGAGAACACACAAACTCCAAATATACAGCTGTCGGGGTCGGGACCGAACCCACGACCTCCTGCTCACCAGGCGTGGAGATAACATCTGGCCACCACAGCACCCCATTCACGACGAATCTCCAACCGTTGCTAGTTCTGGAGGGTCTGGCTTTTTCTGGTGATGTGAGGTCCAGATCCAAGAAATCTTCCCTGATGTTATCTCACGATTTTTTTTCTCTCCGCACAACCTCCAGGCTTTGGTCCACTGGTGGGTTTGCAAAGGGGGACGAGTAGTAGGTCCAGGTCTGGTGCAGCCATCAGTCGCCACTGATGTTAGCCGTGGCTCGGAATCGAACTCGGGTCGCCAGGGTCACAAGCGCAGTGTGTTAACCACTGCACCGACCGCTCTACCAGTACATTGTCGAAAATTCTAAAACAATTTTACATTTTTGAATACAACCGTGCCTGCACGCGCTGTGCGTGAGCGGGGCTGCGCAGGTGCGCAACATGAATATGATCCAATCTTCTTCCTCTCCCGTCGGCTCAAGAGCCGCGTAAACAATTCATCTAATAAACTCCCTCCGTCTTTGTCTTCTACCAGCTTTGTTGCTTCAGACATTATTGCATCCTTTTGTCTCTCAGTGTCACCCTTATTATGTCAATCCGTCTGATTGCCTGTCTCCTTTTACCCGCGGGGCTGCACAGGTGCGCAAGACAAAGGCGATCTACCACGCGCTCAACTTGTGCCGCTACGACGTCACGAACCGCTGCCTCATTGCGGAGGTGTGGTGTCCCACGGCGGACCTGGCGGGCCTGCAAGACGTGCTGCGACAAGTCTCCGTGAGCATCACGCGCGCACGTGTGCGCGCATCTCTGCCCCACCATCTTTCTCGTGTCACCTCGTCACTGAGCATTCGTGACAGGTGCTTTCCACCTTTCGCGATCTTCTGCGTCCCTCACGAATGGTACCATCCAGCCGGACACGTCCTTTCGCCAACCGATCCGATTCAATCTTCTTGCCCTCTTCCCTTTCATTTCCCCTGCAGAATCCTGTTTGCCATGTCCTCCAGCTGTGATGACAATCTTTATGTTATGTCCTGCATATGGCCACCTTTCTTGTTTGCAGCCTTTCTCTCTCGGCACCTCCACATCATTCTTTTTGTGACCCCCATCGTCGAAACACCCCCTGATCCTAAATGACCCATGTTGCGTTCATTCAGTCTCCGTGTCAAACGTTAATTAATTATAATTGAGGTTTTGCCATGATATCTGTTTTGCTGCACAATCTACTGGTGCAGATTTATGTTGTATGTACGTATGTTGAACTTCTGTCGTACCGTACGTAGCCAACCATGCTAATTGGAGGTGCGGGGGGAAGGACAACAAACTAAACACAAAAATAATAATATTCAGAGCCAAATGTTTAGAGTTTAGAGGATTTATCTATCAGTCATAGAAAGTTGTGAAGTGGGATATGAATAGAAAAAGGCACGATTGTTGAAATTGAGTTAATAACTATCTGCCCACTGTGCCTTTCGTAATGCTGCTGTACGTGTAACGCCACTCGCTTGCAACGCCACTTTTCTGTAACGCTGCTCTGTGCGTGTGTGTGTGTCCGCTGACCGGGCACAGATCCAGGGCGGCGCGTCGCTGCCATCATTCCTGACGCGCATTCCCACGCGCGAGTCTCCGCCCACGCTGTTGCGCACCAACAAGCTGACGGGCGGCTTCCAGGGCATCGTGGACGCTTATGGGGTCGGCAGCTACCGCGAGGTCAACCCAGGTGCGCCAGCACACATCGCTGTTATATTGACGCTGTCAAACTAGAGTTGAAATCATCGTTAATCCGTTAGCTCTGTCAGTCCGTCCGTAACGGAGGTGGGTGGTGGTGGGTGGGTACCTCTCGTAAAGTTGATCCAAAATGAAACAAACTTTAGTACAAAGTTATGTTGCTATGAAGGACTTTGCAAACCGGACACATTTTTCAAAGGATTTCCCAAAACTTGGAGAGACACAAACCAGAGCAAAAATGACGGTTTACAAATATGCATACTTGTTTTGCCCTGTCAGCTCCCCAATCTGCTTCCGTATCGCTAAATTCAATCCATCCCAAAACAAACGCTCGTTGTAAAGTGTAACTGAATCCAAGTGCATGCATGACTGTATCATGTCTTGTTATTTTAGTCTTTTGGACCTTGCACAAAACTCGTTGTGATTTCCACAGGCTTATCTATTCATGCATTTACAGTATTTGACAGCTATAAATTTCCACATGATGATAAGCCACTTCGTTGAGCTATCATTGGCGGCCAAGTCGCTTCTGCAAAAAAGCTATATAGCTCAGTGAGCCTTACCTGGTAAAATAAAAAATAGTTATAGTTTAAATAGTCATTAGTATATATGACATGTGTGTTTGTGTTGTCTCCCAGCACTGTACACCATCATCACCTTCCCGTTCCTGTTCGCCGTCATGTTCGGAGATTTGGGCCACGGGATTCTCATGCTGCTCTTCGCGCTGGCCATGGTCCTCATGGAGAAGCGTTTGGCACCCAAGGCCGCTGAGAGCGAGGTACTGGCCTAACCGCGAGCGACGATGGGGGTGGCTGGGGAGGTAGATGGGGGGGGTCAGCTTAGGAACGGTCTAATCAGCAGAAGAGGAGGGGGGGGGGGGTGCATACAGGGAGGTTGAGGTCAGTGGAACATACCTTGGGAGGTAACCTACGGTGAAATTAACGGCAACACTGTCAAGCCACACTTTTACCCAGGTCTTCTCTTCCAAAAATGTAAGTCTATTTTTATTTTACCAGGTAAGGCCCACTGAGCTACGTAGCTCTTTTTCAGAAGCGACCAGGCCCACATATGATAGCTCAACGAAGTGGCTTATCACGTGGACATTTTCTCGCAACCAAATACTCTAAACGCACGTTTCTGAATGTGGAGGGAAGAACCGGAGGACGCAGAGAAAAATCAACATGAGCACGGGAAGAGAGACATGCAAACTCCAAAAATACAGGCGTCCGGGTCGGGAACAAACCAACAACCTCCCGTATACCAGGCGAGTAATAAATTATTACGACGATGTGTGTGTGTGCATGTGTGCGTGTGTGCGTGTGTGCGTCCAGATCTTCGGCATATTCTTCCAGGGTCGCTACATCGTGCTGCTGATGGGGCTCTTCTCCATCTACACGGGGCTCATCTACAACGACTGCTTCTCCAAGTCGATCAACCTCTTCTCCTCGTCCTGGAACGTGACGGCCATGTACTCATCCGGGCCCTGGACGTACGTGGACATATGCACACACGCGCGTGTGCACACACTCACACTGCCTAGAAGCACACACGCACAAAGACAAAGATCCCCCGTTATAGCCTGAACAGACTGTTGGAGCAAGTGCTGTTAGCGAGCACCTATGAAGGACAGCACTGCACACGAGGGGTGGGTGGCCAACACCACGCCGCCTTTGTTTACACACTGTACCGGGTACTCATTTGAGGCGACCTAGGGGAGGCCCATTCAGGACAGATTCAGATAATCGTCACTGTTGATGACCTTGAGCGGTGTTGCTGGGTTCGTAGCGCAGTGCGCCAACGACTACACTACCGCTCCCCACACACACGCACACACACATGCACACACACGAATATACAAGCAGACACAGGTAGGCACACTCGCACACGCACATAAGCATTTGAGTCTTGCCTTCATATCAAAGTATCACAGTAAAAGTGCCACTGTCATTCCTTTCTGACGCCACTGATGGCAGAAGGGGCCTCCACGCGAGGCAGCTCCACAGAGCCCCTGCGGGGATGGTATTCGGCCTACTTTTGCACCCTAGCCACACGTCTTGGAAAAGGTGGGAGTACCCACACTTTTACCCCACGAACACGCGGCCTGCCGCGAGACTTGACCCTCGTGTGCCCGTTTGTCTTGCCGGGTGGACAGAAGTGGAGGGAGGGAGGGGTTAAAAATGACCACGTGTACGAGGGTGAAATCTGCTTTTTGTCACAGAACGGAAGTCGTGAGGGCAAACAAGCTGCTGAGTCTGGACCCCAAGGTGGAGGGGGTATTTAGTGGACCCTACCCCTTCGGCATTGACCCCGTGAGTCACCGCCGCTTCGTGTCACTGCCTTGTGTTGCCCAGTGTTGTGCAATAGCGTGTCCTGTGGAATCGACCCAAGGTTGTTAGTTCAGTGAATGAACGCAAATACAGATGTGATCCATCGCAGGGGATGTCACCCCTGCAATACAGCGAAGTTAAACAAATATACTTTTGAGTATAATATGATTTGTATTTCTAAAGTGTTCACATACCATATCTAGATTCGATTAGTTTGTGTTAAATGTAAACTAAAGTATTTTTATTTTACCAGGTAAGGCCCACTGAGCGATATAGCTCTTTTTCAGAAGCGACCTGGCCACAAATGGTAGCCCAATGAAGTGGCTTATCACGTGGAAATTTATAGCAGCCAAACACTATAAGCGCATATTTCTAATGTGGAGGGAAAAACCGGAGAACCCGGAGAAAAATCCACGTAACCACAACTAGAACATGCAAACTCCATATATACAGGCATCATGGTCGGGATTAAACCCACAGCCTCCTGCCTACCCGGCGAGGGAGTTAACATCTCGCCACCGCGGTGCCCATAAATTAGTCTGGGGGGGAGCGGCGGTGCAGCGGTTGACATACTGAGCTATGATCCCAGTTCGTCGAGTTCGATTCTCGGCAAGTGATACCTGAACTAGCCCTCCACCAGCACTTCATTGACGAGCTTGGTGACGTATGGTCAAACAACACCAATGACCGACATGGCATGGGGGAAAGCCGTCATCCAGCAGTGGATTCACAAAGACCTGTAAAGTATAATAGTGATGATGTTTACCAATATGTTTCAAAGGAGGTTTTAAGTAACATCCAGTTTTTAAAATTAAAATGACATCGAATTGTGTTTTAATTGGGGTGCTCGTTGCATTTTAAGGGGTTGCTATTCTATTGAAAGGCAATGCACAGGTTATGTGACTTAGGTCTCGTGCGTTTGCAGATCTGGAACCTGGCCGCCAATCGCCTCACATTCCTCAACTCCTACAAGATGAAGATGTCCATCATTCTGGGCATGGTGCACATGACCTTTGGAGTCATCCTGAGTGTCTTCAACCACCGGTACGGTCGCTCGTTCACACACGTACATACCAGGGAAGTGGGGAGGAGCGGTGGCGTGGTGGTTAGGGCGCTGTACTTTGACCCTGGTGAACCCAAGTTGTATTCCGAAGTGACATCTGAACGGGTCAGAGGCACACTGTCATCACCAACCAGCGCCGACTAGCGTAGTAAAGTATGACCAAACAACCATTATGCCCGAAAGGCATGGGAAAAAACTTCATCTAGCTGTGGTGGTGGTGATGATGTGTTTTTAGGACACCCCTCAATTCATAGTTCACCACCGCCCACAGCACTGTGGTTACAGCCATAAACCACCGTAGTCGTACACCGCAGCCATACACCGCAGCCGTATACCGTAGTCATATACAGCAGCCATACACCGCGGTCGTACACCACAGCCACCACTGCTACGCTTGGCTAACCCCGTGATTGCACGACCGGCACGGCACTGTGGCAGGTTTTTCCGTCGCCCTCTGGATATCTGGCTCGTGTTCATACCGGAGATGGTGTTCATGCTCTTCCTCTTCGGATACCTCGTGCTGATGGTGCTCTACAAGTGGTGTGCGTGGGGTGTGGACGACGCGCAGACCGCTCCCAGCATCCTCATCATCTTCATCAACATGTTCCTCTTCCGGCCCTCGTCCCGAGAAAAGGGCGGCCCGGGCCTGCTCTTCGCGGGGCAGGCACGTCACACCCTCAGAGGCGGCCGACTGGCCGGGCGAGCGTGCTGCTGTGACCACACACACCACCTCCCTCATGTGCCGTGCGGGTTATCATAGGCGCTCGCAATCAGCGCTTGCCCCAACAGTCTGTTAAGGCTATACGGGGGATCTTTGTTTTTGTAACCATTCCCCCTTCCCCCTGGGGGAGCAGTGGTAGTGCACAGTGCTCAAACCTGGCAACCTGAGTTTGATTCTTACAACAGGCCACAATTAGTGATGAATATCTGGACCGATCCTGGGACTCCTCCAGGTTGATTCAGCATTAAATGAGTACAGTACCTTCGGTGGTGAATGAACATCAGAAATGGAGAGATGTAGGCGGTCGGGCGTGTTTCTGGCCACACCACCTCCCCCGTGCGTCTTCTCGGCCATCATAGGTGTTCGTGAACAGTGCTTGTTTTCACAGCCTGTTGAGGCTACCTTGGGATCTTTATTTTTGTTTGTAATCTATGTTGGTGTGTGCATCCTCAGGAGGGGCTGCAATACTTCCTGATGGTGGTGGCTTTGCTGATGGTTCCTCTGCTGCTGCTGGGGAAGCCCTACGTGCTCTACCGCAAGCACATGGTGCAGGCTCGGCACGGCGCCAACTCTCGTCGAGACGGGGTGCGCCAGCTCCACACCGCCAACGCCAAACACAGCGGCGACCGTGGCCCTCGCCAGACGGCCCACAGCCACCCGGCCACCGAACCACACAACCACCCTGCCACACCAGCACACGTCCACCGAGCCACACGGCCACACGTCCACCGGGCCACACGTCCACCGAACCACCTGGCCACATGGCCACCCGGCCATACAGCCACACAGCAAGCAAACCTTCACTACCCCCACGGCATGTGGAGGCTCTCATCCAGCAGTGGGATTGACAAAGGGCTCTTCGTGTGCATACGCGAAATGTGTATCCAATGATAATGCAAGGTTGCGTTTGCCTGTGTGCCAGAGCTCGCAGCGCATACGCAGGTACCAAGAGGAGGAGTACATTCCGCTCATCAACGAGACGGATGAAGTGACCGTTTCCATGTTGATGCCGGATGAGGACACCGAACCCGGTGCGGACGCCGGCACCGACACCGGCGCCGAGAAGGTGAAATCACGCGCGTGCCGCGTTTGTACAACTGTGGCGTGACGCGCAACATAATGCCGCCCGGACGCGAGCGTTGGGACACGCGGAGGACGTTTGCGTCGCGGTGCACGCCGACTGCTGTCACAGTAGGTGTGAACGCATCGGAGCAAAGGGGCCACTTTAATTTTAATGGCTTTGGCATTTTGAACATGGTAAGGATTGTGCAGTCGCTTCATGAAGGTAGACAAATGATCACTCTCCGAATTTTTTGTCCACGAATCTTTGGAAAGGAAAACCAAACAGGCTGCGTCTTTCCGCATTGATCTAAAGACAGATTTCATCACCTGCTGGCCAGGGGGGCCAGACGCGGCCTTCGAAGGAAGAGATCGCAAGCCTTAGACAAGAGATAGATCAGCGAGACGGCAGAGCTGTAGGCAAGTGACGGTTGGCTACGTACGGCGCGAAAGAAGTTCAACATACGTACATAAAGGTCAGTAGGATTAAAGTGATAAAAACGAGTACAGAGTGGCATGGAGACGAGCGATACAGGTTAGCGGTCACGCGTGTCCACGGTATGATGTCACGACACCGCCACACTTGATCTCACGCAGCTCTTGATGTCACCACGCACTTGCGTGGCACCGCCAGAAGTGCAGTTGGAGAAGCCCTGCCCTGAGACTCGTCTCCGCTCTCTCCGTGTTCCTGTAGTTTGACACCGGCGACACGTTCATGCACCAGGCAATCCACACCATCGAGTACTGCCTGGGCTGCATCTCCAACACGGCCTCCTACCTGCGCCTGTGGGCCCTGAGCCTCGCCCACGCAGGTGCCGTGAGGTTCCCCGCGATATCTCGCCCCGTGTCATCCCCCCACCCCCGCCTCCCATCCCCCTGCCCCCTACCCCCTGCCCCCCGCCTACCGCCCCGCGCGCCCCCCCCGCCCCGTATTTGTTCGGACCTCTCTGTTGTTTGTTTCGCTCGCTCATTTAATAAACTTGCATTGTGTGTTATCATCACCGTTGTTAGCTTATTAAAAGGGCCTACGGGTCTACCGTGGTGGCCAGCAGAGGGGTACCTCCCGATTAGTACGGTTGGCTATGTATGGTGCGGAAGAAGTTATACATACACACATACAGGGGTAGTTTAAGTAAAAGCCATTGTTGTACTCCATGTTCCCCCGCCTTCAACAATGCGCATTAACCAGCGTGGTGAAGTATGATTAACACCCACCACCTGCGTGGCGTTCAGAGGCCACAATTTCTGATCTCCTTTAGTTGCGTTACATAGAAGGAGAGAGGAAGCAATGTGAACACTCGGAATAAGACTTTGGCCTGGTTTTGGTAATGGGTAATTCCTAGATTTGAAGCTTTCGTGACTGCAGGAATCTATACTGTTTGGTTATTTCAGTAAAGTCACGTAGATAGAAAAATAATAGATCACGACGTTTCGTTCGCAACACAAGCAACCGTCATCAGATGGGACAGCCACCGCAAGAAAAACTGCTGAAGTTGGCGAGAGATCTGCCGTGGCACGAGGTTATATAGTAGGCCTCAGCAGTAGGAGGGAGGAGGTGGAGGGAGAGAGGGGGCGGGGCGGATCCCGCGGCAGCACCCGGGTCACTGGAGTAGAGATCGGAGAGAGATGCACAGAGAGAGAGAAAGACACACACCTTTCTCCCCCCTACTGCCGAGACCTATATACCCTAATTGGCTTGTGACAAGTCTGGTAGTCGCCACAAAGCCTATGGGGCCCTCTCTCACCGCACTGCTGTACATTACTGTGTTTGTTTTTGCTTTTGTTTATTTTGGGGACCCAGGTCACGCTTGCGAATGAGACTCCCATATATCCTGGTCTCTTCTTGAGTTGTCACCACCTGGTTAAACGCTTGAAACTCTCCCCTTCGGCCGTGCGGCGGCCGCTCACAGTTGCGCCCTACGTTACATCTATGCAGAGCTGTCGGAGGTGCTGTGGAACATGGTTATGCGCACCGGACTGAAGCTGCCCAGCTCGGCAGGCGGGCCCCTGCTGTTGCCGGTGTTTGGGTTTTTCGGTACCCTCACCGTGGTGATCCTGCTATTCATGGAGGGTCTCTCCGCGTTCCTGCACGCCCTGCGCCTCCACTGGTGAGTCCCACTGACTTCCCTGTGTCCCCACCAGCCTACGGGCAGCAGGTTGGCGCAGTGGTAACGATCGTGCCTCGCTGCAGGAAGATCCCGGGTTCGATTCCCGACTCGGGTGCCTTTTTGCGTGTCAGCTGCCACCCACAGCGTAGCCCTGCATCGGCCTACAACGGCAGTTCATTGCTTGGTGATCACCCCTCCGTGCACCAACCAGGCTCAGCCCTGCTTTAGTTTCCGAGATCTGTTGAGATCGGACGCATTCCGGGTGATTTGGTAATGAGGTGGCGATATCACCACCACTACCACCACCTGTTTGTGTATGACAGATGTAGCTGTGTATTTGGAGCATGTGTGTTTTGTGTGTGTGTGCGCGTGCGACTGCAGGGTGGAGTTCCAGAACAAGTTTTACTCTGGCATGGGGTACAAGTTCGCTCCTTTCTCCTTCACAACGATTCTGCTAAGAACCAGACACGCATGAGGACTCGGTCTCTCCGGCATCATCATCATCATAGCACCACCCGTTAAACGGGCACCTTCCCTTTTCCACAAATTCAAATATCGCAACATTTTTAGCGTTGCTTATCCCGAGGTCGTTAATTATCGAGTGTCGTTGATTGACGCTTCCGTTCTTTGGCTGCCGTATTTATGATCGTTCAGACGTGCAAAGTGAAAGGGCTCTGGCGCAGTGTTGCGGAGAGTGCCCCTTGCGCTGTTTGTGCAGTAAAGTCGATGGTGGATGTTGTAAAACGTAGCCCAAAAATATTCTTTGTGCCAAAAGCTTTTTTTTCGGGAATTAGGATAAAAACAAACTGTAGGCAGGCATGATTAATAAAATATATTAAATACGTGTAAACTATAGTGTCTTGAGTTTTAGAATAACGAAATATATATGCATACAGGTGATTTGTTTTTAACAAGATTATTTAATTTCCTTTTATTTTTGGAAGTGCATTTTCTTGGCTTCCTGAAGCTGTGAAGACGACAGAGGTGTGAGGCGTACCGTTCAGAAATTATTTAATCTTGCTCTATTGACAAAGAAAATTTGCAATGTCCACATTAATGTATATGTAATACCACGTTTGCATGCACACAAGTGGCATGTGGCAAGCGCTGTTCAGGTGTTCAGCCACTTCTGCATCGTGCTTCATACACGCCTGGCATACAAGGCAAAGGTGCAGGGCTGCAATTATAATGTTGACGCCACTGCTAGCGGAAGGACCTAGAGAGCCCCTCAAGGGGGTATTCAGACATCTTGAAAGAGGTGGGAGTAGCCACGCTAACCCCACCAATCGCGACATGCCGATCGGCAACCTGGCGCGAGTTAACTTGATGGAAAAATTTATTGTAATGGAGGTGCTCCATTCTGAACGCTTGAACTTGTCACGTTTTCTCTTCTGTATTGCATTGTGTCGATAAACACCGAGTGTTTGTCTTTTGCCAGGGCATGAAGAATACACAGTCCATGGGGGACCCTTACAAGAATATGGGGATTCTATAGAACGGGCTACATATGAATTTGCTTTTGTTTGCATGTGTAGACTATCTTAAGATTCCCTGCTGAGGCCGTGACACCAATTGCATCAGCCTTACTCAGAAATCCATATTGTTTTTAGCAATACAAGTGAATGTACCCTTTAGAGTATGCAGCGACTGACCCGTTGGGTCGACGTGGCAAACTTGTTCGCTCATTCCTTGGTGTTCACAAATTGTCGACTTGCCTTATAACGTTTTGTAAAAAAGATCCCGAGTACAGTACTGAGACCGATCTCCAAAAACCCGTCGTGGATTTTTGGAAGCTTGTGACCAGTTGCATGAAACAGAATAATGACTTGCAGGGTTTTCTGCAGCACAACAAAATGGTCTCTACGAATACTAACTTCATACCCAACTTGTTTTCGTAAACTTTGGAAGGGCCATAATCAAGACTTGGGAAGTTTACACAAATTAACTGAAAACTAAAAGTTCTAAAATGTCACCTGTCCGACGCGCTCTCGCGTCGTACCGCGTGTCGTGCGCTGCGACGTCCGACGTTTCGCTCCACGTGCTGAGAGCTCCCTCGGAAGCACATCGGAGATCTGTGTGGCACGACCATGTGCAGTAGACGCACTCTTCAACGTTGTTCGATGGACATTGCGGCAAGGTTTTGAAGCCACACGCGACTTTTGGAAGGGTTCCCTTTGATAATGAGGTTGGTGGGTGGATGGGGGAGATCATAATTTGTATTATCCAAACGGTTACTATTGCACTTGAATTCATGGGACCTGATCACATAACCCACATCCCTGGGTCTTGCGTTAACGTCGGAGGTGAGACCTACTTTACGGAATGGTTTTATTTCGTGTCGTCGTGGAAGCGAATTAATAAATGCTATAATAGTTACCGGCTTCGGCATTGGGGAAGTGTTTTTGCGATGGGTGATTTTAATTCAGGGATTGGAGTGGTGGTGGTGCCGTGGTTTGAGAATCGCGATGTTGTTATCCGGGCCATGACTGATCAGAACCGATTCTGGGTCACCGCACCTTTTTTAAGTCGCAATTCACACACGCACCTATCACATGCCAAACCTACCAAATCACGACAGCGGGGGTAAACTGATCGTATTAGCAATACGCAAATGTGTATTGCATATGCATCATCCAGACCGCCAGCTCAAAAGAATTGAATGTGTGTCCAAGATGTCGTGAGTAGACCACAAACAGAGTTGAGAAGATGTAGCGATGCCAACAACAGAGAGACAGCGATTAAACAAAAACACATGACCCCCCCGACATTGATAGCTGTGTCATTGTGATCTGGGAAGAATACATATTCTACATTAATTACCGGATAATAAACATTCGGTTGGAGATGCTGCACACTGGATTTACAATCCAGAAGTCACGGGTTCGATCTCCTGGCACGGCAGTTGTGAATCAAATGATGCAACTTAAATTAACCCGCCTCTACCCAAGCCAGCCGCGTGTATGAGTTCAGGAGACCAGAGTCTTGACGTGCAGCGGTGCGATGGGGTACTCGAGAATCAGAATATTTATCCGAGAGAAATCCGATGAGCTATGAAGCTCTTTTTCAGAGACGTTCAGCAGGGACGGGTCAGCAAGTTACTCCCCCCCACCCCTTTTCAAGACGTCTGCGCAGCGTGGAAGAGGAGGCCAAAAACACCCTCTCAAGATCCCTCCTGTGGAGGCTCGTTCCGCTAGCAGTGCCGTGGGCGAGCTCTTTCAGGGGCTGCGCCTTTACCTAAACGATGGAGCCTCTCCTGCAGTAGGGACTATAGCGGCGTTTGTTTCACAGACACGTAACAATGATGCGTGCACATTCGTGAGCCCTCCTTAGGAACGTAAATCCGTGTTTAATGCCAAAAAACAATGCTTTAATGCCTTAACCAATGTCATGTTTATTAAGCAAGAGGATTACATACATGAAATAACATAAATATAAAAAAATTATTTTCCAATAATTAATAGTTTAAGAGAGAATAGTTACGTTAGTGAGCCTCGTGGCTATTACGGTAAACCAGAAAAAATGAAGAGCCTTCGAATATTTAATAAAATAATGGTTACATTTTGATTTAAAGATTTCGTGACCGCAGGGATTCATATTCTTGGTTCTTTCTGTAAAGTAACGTAGAAGGGAAACAATAAAATAATAAAATTCTCACGACGTTTCGACTGCAACACAAGCAATCATCATCAGGTGTGAAAACCACAGCAAGAAAAGTTATTCTTTCCCTTCTACGTGACTTTACCGAAAGAATCAAGAATATAAAAATAATGGTTGTGGATGAAAACGCGAAACTTGTAGGCACCGCGGAGCCGCCGTAGCCGCCGGGGTGAGAGGTCACGGTGTGCGCCTTGGGTTTGACCCCGAGCCTCCGGACCCAGAGAATCTCCGAGGGGACTCCGAGGGGACCCGGAGACTCCGTGAGACCCCCGGTGCCCCGTGAGACCCCGGTGCCCCGTGACAACCCCTGGAACCCCGTGGGACTCCGGGACATCCTTGAAATGCGTTTTGCCGGGCTGTGCCGCGGCCTAGCGAGGCGCGTCGGGGCGACTCTGGGCGGCGGAGGGAAGGACGCGGCGGCTTGGAGGGACCTGGCAGGCAAGTCCTGGGGTCCTGGGGTCCACGGGGAGCGAGGGTACTCGCAGGAATACGCGGGGGAACATTGGGAAATGAGAGAGAGAGGGGGGTCTATGGGGACCCCACAGGGGCACAACGGAACGCGCGCAAATTCGCGAGTACCGGGGGGACACCGGGGAGTCGAGGGGATCCACGGGGATCGGGAGGGGATCCACAAGGGCACACGGGAGCCACAGGTATCTCGGCGACTAAACTATATTGTTTATTTTACCACGTAAAGCCCACTGAGCTATATAGCACTTTTTCACAAGTGACCTGGCCGCAGAAGATAGTTCAACGAAGTGGCTTATCGCGTGTAAATGTATGGCAGACAAATACTCTAAACGCGTGATGTTGATTTTAAATGTGGAGTGAAAAACGGAGGACCCGGGGAAAAATCAACGCGACCACTGGGAGAGAGACACGCAAAGTCCAAATATACAGCAGCAGGCATCAGGGTCAGGATCGAACCCACGACCTCCTGCACACCAGGCGAGGTAGTCAACATCTCCTAGTCACCGAGGCGACACCTCGGGACACACAGGGATTGGGTGTCACGGAGGCCCCGAGAATCAAGATTCCTGGGGACTCACGGGTTGGAGACCTGCGTTACGGAACCCCCTGGGACCAGCACGGATTACCCGTGGAGTTTACGAGGACCCCGGGGATGCACATATCACCCGAGTGATATGATATTGACAGCTCTGTAAAGTGAATACGAGTGCCCCCTGTATCGTTACAAACTGTGAAATACGACGTTTCATTTCGCCGTTTAATCGGCACTTGTTGTTGTACGCTTCATGTTGTGTTATTGTACGCTTCATGTTGTGTTATTGTGCACAACATTAAGGGAAATGCTGCAGAGTTAACTTGAAATAACAATCGCGGGTAGCTTGACTGTCAGTAAGAAGAATGCGCTCGTCTCGTCAAAACTAGGACGCAAAACAGGGTCTATGATAATTTACTTGCACAAATAGGAAAGTCACAACTCACTGGTAGGACTGTTTCTCAGGAGGGTCCTGCTAAAGTAGGTTTTTATTTTAAGACATTTTCAGCCAATTAATGACGAGTGTGTTTATTATACACGTGGGAGGAGGAAACCGGAGCCCCCGGGTGGAAAAAACCCCTACGCGTGCAAGGGGGCAACACTCGATCCCCGCAAATATGGAAACATGGCGATGAGTCCACTTCAATCTAGATTTGAAGTTTTGGTGACTGCAGGGATCCATACTCTTTGGTTCTTTTGGTAAAGTCACGTGGTAGGTAGAAAATACATTTTATATTTGGATCCCTGCAGTCACGAAAACTTCAAATCTAGCTTGAACCGCCTCTACGGGGGAGGGTTTTCACACGTCTGTTAGAGCTTTTAACAGACTGCGAGACAAGAAGGTTCAACTGATCGAGTCGCTAACCTTTCTCAAGTGATGTATTTTATTTTAGTCCACCACTTGCTGTACTTCAATCTCATGACGAGCCAGGTTATAGCAACCGCCTTGACGCCCACGGTAAGGGAATTTCGCAACATTTTTGCGGTGATCCACCGACCCTCGCTGCTTCCTCCACAGTGGTGGCTTACAGAGGTGATTGGGTGGATGGGCGGCCACGATGTATGACAGGGTGTGAAACGCGGCGGTGGGACTACACTTCTGGTGTCCAGCAGAGGGCAGTGCAGCAAAATCCATGTGTGTGCTGTACTGTACTTCATTGCTCTCAACGTCTGTGCTTCCCAGCTTCACCAATCCACTCTGACCACCGTGGTGAAGTATGGTCATATAACCCCCATGGCTTTCACAGCGTGGGCAGGCCTTCACCGTTTGACACGGCTCTGTACATCTTCTCTTTCGTATGGCTGGTGTAGATGCAGAGCAACGACGACAATTTCAGATGGCAGCCTTCACGGGGCCCACTCTGTTAAGTGAGAAATCGCGAGGAATGCCGTCAATGCGGCGACCGAACATCTGATTATTGATCTCCCGGTCCCCAGAGCAACAACACAAGCTCTGTAAAATTATTCACAGCAAATGTCTTTGTGAATGTGCGTCCCGCTGGTCTGATTCAACTGCCGCTGTCCTTTACCTGGCAAAGGAGGAGCGAGGTCGTCCTCCGGGTCCTCCTTCGCCCAGCCCCAGCAGCAGGACGAGGAGGTCGGCACGGCAGAGAACGAGGCGGTGCGGACCAACTTCGTGAACCGCAACCCCAGGAACCTAGAGCGCATGGCACTCGCACTCAAGGACCGAGGCTGGGACACCGTGTGGCCCAACCGTTGCTACTGGCACCGGTGAGAGACTCCCGTGGACCGGAATTAAAGGTTTGAGTGGTGTTGTGGAAAAAAAACCCATGATAGTTCACGAATAGCCCGTGACTAGATGACATGGATTAGAGAAAATAAGCAGGCTAATGATGTCAGACTATATTAAGAAAATTAACAGATTCTCAACAAATAACAATGCCGAAAGAGGCAGTGTTTTTACCTTAAATGGCACTGTTATTGAGCAATGTGTTGAGGTTGTTTTTGAGAGTCAATAACACTGCATGTCAAAGCAGTGTTTAAAGCACTGCTGCTAACTCAGTACCACCAAATAATGTTTTGTATATTAAGGAAATAAAGTGGGTTTAAGCAGATTGGATTATGGGCAATGGTCAAGAATTTGCTGATAAATATTTTCGTCACTTTTTGTTGGGAGAGACTCGGTCCATCCCCTGCGCTCATTATGGACCAACGAAACTCACCACCATGGCTAACAAACAAAGACAGTTCACATGCTGCAGAGGCAGACAAACTCGCCAGGGGCACGCGGGGACAGAGAGTGGCCATGGTTGCCGCTTTAGACATGAAATATAAACCGGCAGAAAAATAAACGGCGCACCGCTCACGGCCCGCCCCTGCAGGCTGTGTCTGGATCGCACGCAGCAACACGTGTCGGCCTGGGTGGAGCACTGTAGCCGCCACGTGGTCGTCTCTGCCAGCACCCACGAGTGGGCCATCAAGCGCCACCTCCACAGCACCAGCGACGTGGCGGCCGCCGAGAACGTGGGCCGCGTCCTGGCGCAGCGCTGCCTGGAGAGCGGGATCAGCTACGCCGTGTTCCGCCACATTCCCTGGTCCTACAAGAGCGCGGCGGTACGTGCGTGCGTGTCTCTCGCTTCTTCTCTGCTGCCCCCATAGTCTCAGATGCCCTTCCTTTGCCTGCATTCCTTGCTGTCAACTGGTCACTGCAGGTTGGTGAAGGCGGTGGATCACAGCATGATACAGTACAACAATAGATTTTGCTTTCTGCTACCTACCGTGTAGCCCCACAGCAGCCTATAATAGCACTTGGGCGACCACAATTTGCTTTCAAATAGAAACGTATACATTAAAACACATGCTGCCCTATTTAAACGTGCCATGTTATTTTTTTATTTCACGTTTGTATTTTGCTTGTTATATTTGATTCATTACATCACTATTCTTCTTAACACTGGCACGATTGTGCAGTGTCTGGTCGTGGTGTGTGCGTAATTGTGGAAGAAAGACCGAGGTCGAACTGTGTGCCGTTGCAGGTGCAGAGCTTCAAGAAAGCATGCAAGGAGGGAGGCCTGGTGCTGAGTGAACCGCGACGCATCTTTGTAAAATAAACGTCAACACATTCAACCCCCCTGCACTCTCTCACGTATTCTGTTGCTGTAACGTAACCCTTTTCTTTTATATAAAAAAGGTGAACTCTATTTTATCTTCCGGCTTTTTTTAAGTGTAGCTGGATATGAAAGATGAGGCGTCGGTGTGCACATTACAGACAATTCATCACAGTGACATCTTGATTTATGTTTGGACCCAGTGGCCAGTTGCACATTGTAAATGTTTCGCTATGTTTACATTAGATTGCAAACTAAGTCGAAAACTTTTGTATTTTACGTAGTCCATTCCAGTATTTTATCTCTAAAACACGGCATCTTGAAACGCGGTATATCCATCGTACCTAATGTTCACATTGCTGTATACGTAACTATATTATCTGGGTACGTGAGCACACTCCACTATGAGCCCAGACAGCCGCTGAATTAAATTGCCGTCCACGACTAACAATGGAGAATATCTGAGCAACCACCTTCAACACACAACAACCCTCATGGTGGATAGCGGGAAGGGATGCCTTTATCCAGCCGTGGACTGAGACAAATATCATAATCGAGCTCAAGAAGTCATGGATAAAGGCGGCTAAAGCCCACCACGCGTTTGTACCCTCCTGCCAGATTAAATTCCTTTGTACATTATTACCAGAGGGATGTGGCACTACTGGCATGGAGCATCTTGGCACCAGACAAGAGGAAGGTGGAAAGAAATGACAAGATGTGCAGTGGACATCTACGGGCTACTTGCCCGTGGATCGTGATGATATTATTATTGCCATTAATTATAATTGTAATTAAAGTATCACAGAATGAACCCTTGCAAGTTCAATCACGGTGGTTGCAGGGATCGACCCCCCTCCCCCACCGCGCGCCACGTGCCGCCCACGTGGGCCTCGCCGGTTCAACGCGGCGAGGCCCACGTGGGCGCGCGCCGCCATCTTACTCAGGGGGCGCCACCTCCACGCACTCGCAGTCGACGCGGCCCCTCCCCGGGGACGCGGCCCCTCCCCGGGGTCACGTCATCGAAACGTCTCCCCCCGTATCGCCCGTGCTTCGAAGGACCCTTGCCCGAAACGTCGTTTATACATCCCCCTCCCCTAGTAAGGCAGTGTGATTGACGAGCGCGTTGAGTGTTGTTGTTGCTTGTGCTTGCACACGCGGCTCTCGGTACCCTTACCCAACGTGGCCGCCCGATTGCCTCGCACGCCGCCACGACGAGCCGGGCGGCCTTCCCGTCCACGCCGGCGGGGACAGCGGCGGCGGCTGGAGCAGAGCCCCGGTGAAGGAGACGACGTGGAGGAGAAATGAGGAGTTGAATCCCTAGTCCAGAGCACCGCCACCACCCCCGCAGCCTCGCCTCGTCCCACCCGTGACTCATGCGGCTTGGCTGCGCCCTGGATGCGGCAGGCGCTGGTGTCACTGCGCTGGTGTCTGCACCTCGGCGCGTTCCTTCGTCCACCGCCGCCGCCGTTGTTGCTACGAGGACACGCGGCGGTCCGCATGGCCACGCCGGGCTCCGCAACTCTCGCCCCTTCTCCTCCTCCTCCCCACACCTCCACCCCGCATCCCGCTCCTGACTGTGGCGCGGTCGCTATGGAGAAGAACGGGGAAGCACGCGGCCCCGAGGGGAAACGGGACAGCCAGGGCCCCCAGGAAAAGGGGGTCTCGCGGGGTCTTCACGCCAAGGGGCACGGCAGGGCCCCGGTCTCCCTCCTCCTCCTGCAGGAGGAACAGAGTGGAAGGGGCCCCGAAGCTAACGGGGAGGCGGCGCCGGGCCCCGCGGAGAACGGCGACAGTAGCCAGGGTGTGCAGCAGCAGCAGGAGCAGCAGAAGAAGAAAGGGGATCCGGTGGACTCCGAGGGATCGTCTGTGGCGAAGCGGGGCCCGGAGCCCGCGGAGCAGCTAGCCAAGAGGGCCCGGCTCGAGGCCCCCGAGGGAGGCGAGGGGGGCGACCCCTTGGGGGAGCCGCGGGGCCCCGGCGAGGCGAGGAAGAAGTTCCCCAAGAAGAAGGTGGCGCTGCTCGTGGCCTACTCGGGCAAGGGCTACCACGGCATGCAGGTGTGGGCCTCATGGATACTTTGTTGTTGTTAAACCTCGTGGGTACTCTACTCGTCGTTGTTGTTGTTAACCCTCCCCCTGGCCCTCGCTGCAGTTTGGTTAAACAAACCGCGGGGCTCGTCCAGGAGCGTGCCGCCAATGCCCGAGGATCGGCGGGCGATTGGTGTGTGTATATATTTACATACACAACAGGACTGTGTTTTTATCATCTGTTTATATAGTGTATCGCTATTGAGGTATGTTAAGTAGTTTAACACGCATTAGGCTTTCGCGACCAATATCCATAATCTAGGTTTTTTTGGTTAGGTTAGATCGCGTAAATGTATAAATGTTGCGTCGTTAAACCCGCCACCACCCGACACAGCCAGCTAGTCAGGTTTGTCACGCAAACAGAACGTGACAATTCGTCACTAGCACAACACATCGGCGTGCTGGCACGTTCTGTTCGCGTGACAAACCTTACGAGTTGGTTGTGTCGGGTGGTGGCGGGTTTAACAACACAACATTGGTATATTTAAGCGATCTAACACAAAACAACCTCGTGTGTATGTTATGCAATCGGCAACCGATGCTGAGACATTCCTTACATTGCACGCGCCTGGATTTTTTTCTCTCGGCTTGCGATGTAAATCAATTAAGGGGAAGCATTTAAAATATTTATATTTAGCGGCACGCTTAACTTTTCCTCTGTTATATATTCCTGTTTGTTGTTGTATTGTTTGCTGTTGCAACTTGCTGACCCGCCCCTACGGGACATCTGCGAACAAGAGCCTTATTGCTCATCGGATTCCACCTACAGCAGTCTAAAGACTCTTGATTCTGAGAGGGGATGTGAGGCAATGACCACAGGCACTTTGCTCCCTGTGTAGCAGCAACTCATGATGATTCCCATGTCCACGTGTGATGCTGATGATGATCGCCCAAGGAGCTGAGCGAGTTGGGAGGCCGCTTGGGTAGGACCCAGCGCAACTTCACCAAGGCAGTGAGAGGGAGACCAAAATATGTTGCAACAATTTCAGAAACAAATCTCCCGTGGTAACTAACCCTGTAACTGCTCTTGAGCCCCACAACGGGGTTGTGGTGGAGGCTGTTTCCCATCGACCCCTGCCTGAGAGCTTGCCCCCCTTCTCGTAATGGGGGTCAAATTTATATTACCGCGGGGTCCAAACCTTTGCCGGGTCCCCCGAACGTTTACCGCGGGGTCATCAATCTTGGGGTGCCTCCCAGAGGGGAGAACGGGGTTGCCTGCGTCCCCCCTGACGTCTCGTACAGCTGTTGGCACGATGTCAGAAACCATTCTTTTGATTTGCTAATGAGTGTGAAAGTGCAAATAATAAAATCATCATTCTCGATGTGTATTTCATTTGAGATGCATTTAATATTCAACATCATCAGCCATGATCAATGCGCTGCTGGACGAAGGCCTACTCAAGCCGCCGCCAGCCCTCGCGATCCTGCGATGTAATAATTCCACCTAGCGCGTGCACACGAGCACATTCCATAGCTCTAGCTCGCATTATACCACGCAATACATTTCTTTACAGATATGAGTCACTTTTAATTGGCCTCCCTACATAACGTTTACCTGGGTGTGCGACTGCATCCGTCCATATGCCCACTAGGTTTTTGATTCATCACCGGGGTAGATGTTTATATTTTCCTCTGATTTTCCCCATCAGATGCCGCACCGGTCGTTGGTTTGATCTCCCGGCGTGGCACTTGAAACGGTGGGGCAAGTTTCCTAAGTCGCTCCGCCTCTGTCCACCCAGCAGTATAAATGGGCAACACCACAGTTCGTCGATCTGCAGGTCCCGTGTGGTGGGGCTGTGGGTACTCCCACATCTTTCCCATATGTCAACGTGGAATAGCCAAAAGGAAATGCCCTCTAAAAGGGGACTCTCTTGAGCTCCCGCGAGCAGCGGCGCGAGCGATCGCAGGGCTGCTCCTTAACCGTTTCCCTCCGGATGGATGTCGCCGTCAGCGAAACGCAGGGAACGCGGCGTACCGCACCATCGAGGACGAGCTGGTGGAGGCGCTGGTGCGGGCCGGGTGCATCCCCGACAACCACGCGGCCGACATGCGCAAGATGTCCTTCCAGCGCTGTGCGCGCACGGACAAGGTCAGCGAGAGCGCACACGTGCATTATTCCGCACCTCCGATTTGCACGGTTGGCTACATACGGTGCGAAAGCAGTTGAACGTACATACATACATAGTCTCATTTGCACGGATGACCAGGTTGTTTTTGTCGTGCGAGAGAGACCCCCTCGGTGGTAAGCGCGCTGCCCTACGAACCTGGCGATCCACGTTAAATTCACGGCCGTGGCTAATATCATCGGCGAGTGCTTTTATGAACCAGTCCTGGACCCTTACCCTTCGCCCACTGTCCACTGTGAAGTATGGTCAAACAGGCCCCATGACCAAAACAATGTGGGGATGCTATCCACCATTGGATTTACAAAGGTTTGTATATCATTATTATGACTTGCTATCTATATATAGTTGTTGTGCTAATGGGGTCTCTTGTTGTGTACGCGTCTGCTAGGGTGTTTCAGCCATTGGGCAGGTGGTGTCCCTGAAAATGTGGCTCATCGACGATGTTGTGAACAAGATCAACGCCCACTTGCCCCAGCAGATCCGCATCATGGGTGAGGACAAACTTTACCTTCACCGACCCCTCATCGTTGCCTCTCGTCGTTCCATGGCCAAACGTCGCCACTGTCCTTCACGATACCGCAGTGCAACAATCCCCCAGCACCTCCGCACGAGCCGACCTCGTGGCTCCATTCCTGCGGCACGGCCTCTTGTGCGCTTTTCTTCTTGTGGCTGCTGCTCGGAACTTCGTCTCACCCACAGGTCATCATCCCTTCTAGCGATTGTCCTGCCCAAGTCCATTTTCTGTTTTTTTGTTTTATCTGGTACATGCCTCCTCCCCCCACGATTATCCCAGATTTTCGAGAGATTTTACTCTCATCGAATGGCTTTTTAACCAATGTTTAATTTCATATCTGTTCATACAGTCGCGTTGTTGGTAATTGGTGCGTTGTTTGCTCTCGTCCTGCTGTCACTGGATCAGGCATGCAGAGGGTTACGAACGGATTCAACTCGAAGCAGCTTTGCGATGCACGCACCTACATCTACCTCCTGCCCAGCTTCACGTTTGGGCCCAAGGGGCAGGGCGAGTGGGACGGGGAGGGGGAGGTGAGAGACTTCCTGGCCGCGTGCATCCGGAGGCTGCCTTCATCAACGCACGCGGGGTCTCAGCTGCTCCCGCGATCAAATTCAGGGCAGACGTTCGTCGTCATCGTCGTCCGTGCGATTGGCGTATTTCCAAAATTCCAAAGTAATGTTTTGTTTAACTCGCTCTCAGAATTGGACGTTATTTGTCCTGTTGAGGCCCATTGAGCTAAGCAGATCTTTTACAAGGAAGATCACAGCCAAAGGCCGTCGTCAGCAGTGGTGGCAGTGGTTGCAGTTATGGGACGTTGCAGGGTGGGAATGTGCAAGTTAACCAGAGCAAAAAACAATATCCACTAATCTTGCTAAAATCACTGCAAATAGGTTTAGATATTGATCGGGGTGGAGTGGTGGCACAGTGCTTTGTGCATTGTGCTGCGAACCTGATTTAATTCCCCGGCCATGGCTAACATCTGCGCCTTCGTACGTGCGGTGCGAAAGAACTTCAACATACTTACAAAACCGTTCCTTGACCTTCCCAAAGTTGACTCGGCCTTAAACGAGAACCCGGCGTGCGGTGTGTTAACATTCGCATTGAGGAGACGAGGAGAGCTGGGTGGCTGGCCTTAACACAGCAGCTTGCCAACGGCACTTGCTCCGGCAGTCTGTGTAGGCTACGTGGGTTATCTTCATCTTCTTCCTGTCACGTGACGTCCGCCTCGTGCGCTAGCGGGACACGGCGTGGGAGGAGAGCTTCCGGCTGCCGGAGGAGACGCTGTCGCACGTGAACGCGCTCCTGCGGCGCTACGTGGGAACTCACAACTTCCACAACTTCACGTCGGGCAAGGGCGCACAGGAGGCGAGCGCACGGCGCTACGTGACAGAGGCGTACTGCCAGCCGCCGTCGCTGCAACAGGGGATCGAGTTTGCGCTCATCCGAATCAGAGGTCCACGCCACCCTCTCTGCTACGCAGCCTCCGCTGCTTCACTCTGTTTTGCTGTCATGCTTCTCCAGCTGCCCAGAAAGCCGAGGGAGGGATCTTCCGTGGCTGTCAGGGAACGGCACTAAATGCTCTTGAGGACACCTGCAGCGTGATTTTCCATGTTTACGTAGCGTTACTCACCGCGACAGATTGCGCGGTTTTAATTATCCGAGTGCTGATCTACATAGGCCTTTGAACTAATCACCCGGAAATATGCCTGACCTCGTGATATCTCAAACATAAGCTTGAGTTGAGCTTGCCTCATTGCGTGAATGGGTGACCACAATGCATAGAGCATGCGTTTAAGGTGGCCGTGGAGCTTTGCCGTGTTCTGGGCAGCAGAGGGCAGACGAGCAAAAGCTATTCCTTGCTGTGCTTCTGGGTCTTTCCTCCCCACCTTCAATCTGTTATGATGAGTGGTGAATTATGGGAAAAAAATCCCCGTGACCCACACGATGTGGGGAACCCCTCATTCAGCAGTGGATTGACAAAAAATGGGCTGCGCATGTGCATACATTTTCATCGAACATTAGGAGAGGAATTGGCCTTGAATCTTATGTTCCCTGCTTCTGGAACTCCAAGTAATATCAAGAATGCTGGTGGCACAATCAAATCTTCTTTTAAAATACATTTTTAAAAGATTTGTTCGAGCATGCTACTTTTTCAGTTTTTATTCTAAAGTGCCCTGCGGCGATCTGCAAATTGTATTTTATTTCACCTGTAGGAAGACAAATGGGAGTGTAACACCGTCTCAGATACCGAAGCAACCCAGCCAACTAACATCCAATATTTGAACGATCGTCTTCCCCCTTTGTCAATGCCACCACCGTCTCAGGCCAGAGCTTCATGCTGCACCAGATCCGCAAGATGGTGGGGCTGGTGGTGGCGGTGGCGCGGGGCCACGCCGGCGACCAGCGCATGCAGGACGCCTTCGGCAACGACAAGCTGGACGTACCGAAAGCGCCGGGGCTCGGGCTGGTGCTCGAGCGCGTGCACTACGACCGCTACGATTCGCGCTACGCGGGCGACGGCGTGCACGCGGCGCTCGCGTGGCCCGAGCTGGCGCCGGCGCTGGCCGAGTTCGCCGAGCGGCACGTGTACGCGGGGATCGAGGCGGCGGAGCGCGAGGAGGGCAGCATGCGGCGCTGGCTCGGCACGCTGGACAAGCACGACTTCACGAGCAGCCTCGCGCGCGCCGTACACAGCGCACGTCTCGCACCTTCGCACACGCGCAGACAGACGACGATCCTCCGTGGAGCTTACAACTCGCTGTTGGGGAAAGTCCAGTTTTTTAGCACCAGTTAAGGCCTGGGGTGGCGTGGCCAACGCCGAACCCAGCTGCCATTGTCTCCCCAGTGGGGACGTTTAATTACCGCATTAGGTTACCCGTTTTAGGCTGACTATCCCTAGGGGAGGTCCAGCACCAGTTCAGATATTCGTCACCGATGTTGACAGTGAGCAGGAATGGAAATGGGGGGGGCGGGGCTGCTCAGGCTTCGTGGCGCAGTGCGCCTCCCCTCCCCTCCCCGCCCCATGCGCACACAAAGACAAACACGTGCTGCACAGCCTACGTAGACACAGTGTGGGGGAGGCCTTTATACAGCAGTGAATCGATATATTTTTTTAAGAGTAATTATTGATAGGGTGCATTTAAAACAATATAATGCGGTAACTCAGCTGGCGTGGTGGACTTTAACGGTAACGTATATGCGTGTGCTTGTTATAAACTGGCCATTATGCTGAATATCGCCCTGCTTTAGCGTTTCACGGCCAGTCGTAACTCTTAATCACCGTTTCCTGGTAGGCACAGCATTTCTTTAACCTATAAACTATACACGTAGATGCTGAATCGGCAAAAATCCAGCAGCCTGCAAAAATAAGATAATGGCTCCCTCACTTGATGTATGCATCTGTCCGTTTGTCCATCTTCAAAATTGCCCATGCATCGCATGCCCAAGAAAATAACTTAAATCATTGTAAAACATGTGAGGGGGTGGTGACGCTGTGGTTAGGTCGCTGTGCTCCGAACTCGGCGACCTGAATTAATTTTTCACTCACGGTTACCATCGGTTTGTGCGTAATATCAGAACCAGTGTACAGGCCTCCCCGCAGCCTGATTTCACAAAGCCACACCGACCGGGGGTGGGGAAGCAAGGTCAAACAACCTCCATGGCTTACACGGCATGGGGAGGCTGTCATCCATCGGGGGATTAAAAATATGTTTCTTCAATTACCTTTAAAACATGGCCCGCCCTGGGCCTTGCCTCAGTGTTCCCGTCTCTCCCCTTTCCCGTGTGTCCCCTACTTGACCCTACTCCACTTCCCATTCATGCATCTTCCCTGACTTTGTCCCTCACTAATGAGATGTTGTTGCATTTAAGCATTACATAAATATTGACATAGTTGTTGTGAACTGTTTCCAGCAGGTGAAAAGAGAAGATTCGGACAGCAACAGCGAATCGGAGTGAAGCCGTGTTCGCCCGGACGAGGCTGGAAGATTTCAAAAAGGCATCCCATTGTGGACGTTCCGATCTCACTGACGAGACGTGGAGTCATCAGCGCCGGCATCATGCTCCCTTTTTAATTTTTCACAGCTGAGTGGGGAGCTGAGTGTTGCCGTGACAGTTTCTCAAAGGATTAAATGCTCAGAGCGTTTGTAAAAACACCTCGGCCCCTGTGGATTATTATTTTTGTAAATTTGCGCTGCGTTGCTGCCGCATTAGTCTGGAGCGGCGTTTTTTTTTTTGTTGAAATTCCGGTTGCATTTGTATTTGATCCTCCAGGGTTAATATTAAATGCACTTATTCCTAAAAAAAAAAACACCCAACATTTTTGTTTGCTGTAATTATAGTTGCTGTCTGTGTGTGTGCAAGTGCTTTGGGTTTGTGAAGCATTCAAGTAAATACTTAATGCGCCACTGAAAAATTAAATATGCCGTGCCAACGGAGAAAGCACTACGTTTGAAGTACGATACCCCCAGTGAAGATTAAAATGGCCACATTAACTCGAGCCTATTATAAATGTTGGCCCTTCAGAATAACCCAAATAAGGGATTATTATTGCAAGTGAAAGGAGGCAGAATGAAGGTCGTTCCTAAGCAGGGGTTACTCATATCCTTGGAAAGGTAATAGCATTAGGACTTCGATGGTATGTCCATGTGTTGAGAAGATACAAAGAAGATGCTCTGCTTCCGAGCGTTGCGATCGGACAAAATAATACGGTACTGGCGATTTGGTCACAGGCGGCCACCTCGCCTGGTCTTAGTTTCAGTTTATTTATTTTGGTATAGCCCTGTGAGCCATTCAGCTCTTGAATTGGGTGCAACCAGAGCTAACAAAAAAAAACACCAACAAGAAAACATCTTAAAGTGACTATGTGACTGCAAACAGAAAATCCATGAAAAAACAGCAAAATATTCCTGAAAAAAGCACCGTACACCAATGCTGTATGCAAAAAATCCCAGTGGGATGCAAGTCAAACAACAACAACCACAAGAAAACTTAGATTAAGGCCATCGGTCTAACTCCGTACTACAACAAAACAAACATGTCCAAACCAAAAAACTTTTCGAAATAAAAAAATAAAGCCATAATTGCAACGTAACATTGATCATACAGTGAGGGAAAAAAAAGTATTTGATTTTTTGCTGATTTTGTACGTTTGCCCACTGACAAAGAAATGATCAGTCTATAATTTTAATGGTAGGTTTATTTGAACAGTGAGAGACAGAATAACAACAAAATACAGAAAAACACATGTCAAAAAATTTATAAATTGATTCGCATTTTAATGAGGGAAATAAGTATTTGACCCCCTCTCAATCAGAAAGATTTCTGGCTCCCAGGTGTCTTTTATACAGGTAACGAGCTGAGATTAGGAGCACACTCTTAAAGGGAGTGCTCCTAATCTCAGCTTGTTACCTGTATAAAAGACCCCTGTCCACAAGCAATCAATCAGATTCCAAACTCTCCATCATGGCTAAGACCAAAGAGCTCTCCAAGGATGTCGGGGACAAGATTGTAGACCTACACAAGGCTGGAATGGGCTACAAGACCATTGCCAAGCAGCTTGGTGAGAAGGTGACAACAGTTGGTACGATTATTCGCAAATGGAAGAAACACAAAATAACTCAATCTCCCTCGACCTGGGGCTCCATGCAAGATCTCACCTCGTGGAGTTGCAATGATCATGAGAACGGTGAGCAATCAGCCCAGAACTACACAGGAGGATCTTGTCAATGATCTCAAGGCAGCTGGACCATAGTCACCATGAAAACAATTGGTAACACACTACGCCGTGAAGGACTGAAATCCTGCAGCGCCCGCAAGGTCGCCCTGCTCAAGAAAGCACATATACATGCCCGTCTGAAGTTTGCCAATGAACATCTGAATGATTCAGAGGACAACTGGGTGGAAGTGTTGTGGTCAGATGAGACCAAAATGCAGCTCTTTGGCATCAACTCAACTCGCCGTGTTTGGAGGAGGAGGAATGCTGCCTATGACCCCAAGAACACCATCCCCACCGTCAAACATGGAGGTGGAAACATGCTTTGGGGGTGTTTTTCTGCTAAGGGGACAGGACAACTTCACAGCATCAAAGGGACGATGGACGGGGCCCTGTACCGTCAAATCTTGGGTGAGAACCTCCTTCCCTCAGCCAGGGCATTGAAAATGGGTCGTGGATGGGTATTCCAGCATGACAATGACCTAAAACACACGGCCAAGGCAACAAAGGAGTGGCTCAAGAAGAAGCACATTAAGGTCCTCCAGACCTTAATCCCATAGAAAATCTGTGGAGGAAGCTGAAGGTTCGAGTTGCCTAACGTCAGCCTCGAAACCTTAATGACTTGGAGAAGATCTGCAAAGAGGAGTTGGACAAAATCCCTCCTGAGATGTGTGCAAACCTGGTGGCCAACTACAAGAAACGTCTGACATCTGTGATTGCCAACAAGGGTTTTGCTACCAAGTACTAAGTCATGTTTTGCAGCGGGGTCAAATGCTTATTTCCCTCATTAAAATGCAAATCAATTTATAAAATTTTTGACATGCGTTTTTCTGGATTTTGTTGTTATTCTGTCTCTCACTGTTCAAATAAACCTACCATTAAAATTATAGACTGATCATTGCTTTGTCAGTGGGCAAACGTACAACATCAGCAGGGGATCAAATATTTTTTTTTCCCTCACTGTAGGGACTGTGACCGAATTTTTACAATAAACTACATAAATAACATGTAACACCAAATCCTAGAGCCATAGCTGGCTGCATGAGTTACTCCACAACAACAAGCATCAGTCGGAGTATCAAATTTTTCAATGCACCTTTAAGATCAGCACGCTAAATCAAAAAACAGATAATACTTTGCAGCGTCATCCGGAGCGAAACATTTTTTTTTATTTTACATCAATGAATAGCAGTGGCAGCTAGGCGTGTACAACTCCTCTAGAGCAGTTTTGAGAGATCTCATTGGTAGCGATTCAAGTTGCAGTTTATTGGCAATAGCATTCCAGACCCTGTGGGCATTAATAGCAAAGGCCCTTCCTCCAGGTTTTGTACGGCAATAGGGAATGTGAAGCTGGTAAATGAGCGAAGACCTGAGGTCAAATTTGTTCTTTGAAACAGAGAGGAGATCCAGCAGGTCGTCTGCGGATTTTTTTGTAAGTACATCGTGAATAAATAAGATCTGGTGCACAAGCCGTCGAACATTTAGAGATGTTAAGTTTGACCCAATGTAGAGATCACAGTGGTGAGTTCTATATGGGCAGTTCAATGTACATCTTAAGGCCGAGTGATAGATGGAATAAAGCTTCAGTACAGTAATAGGGGCTGATTAATACACGATGTCACAGTAGTCAAGTAGAGGCAGTATGGTAGCTTTTATCAATTCCAAACGGAACATTGGGGGAAAGCAGTGCTTGTGTTGATACAGAACACCAATTTTTATTTTTGTCTTTTTACCAATATAATGAATGTGATCTTCAAAATTCAGTTTTGAATCCAAGATGACCCCAAGATACTTATAGATCTTGACTTGCTCTATTTGTTCATTATTTAAGGAATGTAATTGGGGAAAAATAACTTCCTGCTTTAGTCCTGGTGGGAAGCATAGCACCTTGGTTTTGGAGGTATTCAGGACTAGTTTAAGAGAAACTAGCTGATGTTGTAGTTTGTTGAAATCACCAAATAGCTTAACAATCACGTCATCCGGAGAGCGGCCAGCAGTAATCAGTATCGTGTCATTTGCAAAAAGATTTACCCTGGAATGATCCAGGTCAGTGCCCAAGTCATTGACATAAAGAGAGAACAAAAGGGGGCCGAGGATGGAACCCTGTGGAACCCCTTTTGTTATCTTAACACTGTTTGACCTCCAACCATCTGTGAATACAGTTTGGGTGCGAGAAAAGAGGTAATTTTGTAATCATTTTGCTGCGTTTTCGGAAAAACCGAGGCAACTTAGTTTACTAAGCAGGGTGTTGTGGTCTACTGTATCCAAAGCTTTGGACAGGTTTAGAAAAAGACAGGCACAGTACTGCTTATTATCAAGGCTACTGTAAATGTGATTCAGAGTCTAATGCAGCAGATGTGGTGCTGTATTTTTTTCGGAACCCAGATTGTTTTAGATGTAGTACTTTGTTGGTGGACAGGAAACTGCTAATTTGGTAGGTCAATAATTTTTCAAAAATTTTCATCAACGGGGACAAAATTGAGATAGGTCGGTAGTTATTTGGATCATCTTTAGGGCCCCCTTTGTGAAGTGGACGGACATAGGAATGTTTCCATTCTAGAGGAACTGATGCTTCTTTGATGGACAGGTTGAAAATATTGGCGCTAGGTTTGTATATTAGGTGAACAACAGTTAGTAGAGCAAAGACGGGAATACTATCTGCTCTGGTAGAGGACCCTTTGAGGTAGGACAGTTGTTTCAGAACATTACTTTCGTGGATTGGCTGGAAACTAAATTCGTTTAATGTTTGGACAGGGGTGTAGGAATTTGCATGAGCAGGGGTGACTTCCAATACATTATCAAAAATATTACCAGCTTCAGAAAAATGAAGGTTAAAATTGTCAACTATTTTTTTGGGATCTGAAAAATATTCACCATTTTGGTTAAGCTAAACGGGCAGATTGTCTGTTTTGGATGCCTTTTCAATACATTTGATTGTTTTCCAGCAAATCCTGGCATTCCCATGTGATTCCAGGAGAGTGGAGGAAAAGTAGGCATTTTTTGCATGCCGTATTTTTTTGACGCATCTATTCCTTAAAATCCTGTATTCTAGACAGTCATTGACCAAATTACTTTTCTCAGCACATGCGCAAGCCTTGTCCCTAGTTTTCATGAGCTTTGTAATCAAAGGATCAAACCATGGTGGGCGGTTGCCTTTAGTTTTAAATCTAACCAACGGAGCATGTTTGTTAAGAATTTGGAGAAACGTGTACCTGAAGGTCTCCCAAGCCGCAGTCAGGTTGGGGATATCAGACCTTGTCAATATCCGAGTGAAGCACATCATTAGTAAATGCCTGAGTGCTGAAGTGTCTCATAGAGTGCTTCTCAACCAATTTAGGGGGGGCTTTGGGTCTGGCTGATGATCTCACCCCAAAAATGAAGGAGTGATCACTAAGGTTATTACCCAGAACACCAGTCAGTGTGAAATTGTGAGGGGCATTTGTCAATAGGACATCAAGCAGAGATGACTGTCCCGGATTTTTTAGGTTGGGTCTTGTGGGGACATTTATTAATTGAAACAGATTAAATTAATCTGCAAAATTTGTGGCCACGGCCGGCGGGTTTAGCCAATTCCAATTTCGATCACCCAATAAAACTA